ACACAACGCCATTATACACTACATTATGTGGACTTCTTTTGTGCACAGGTCCACACTATGTATGCCACGCCTGCACACAGGAACTAATACGCACGCATACATGACTTGTAAATGATGACAGATGTGAGCGGTTTTTCCATGTTTTACTTTTGTGCGTGGCTCACCAGACGACTCCGTAACGACTAGCCTACTTTGCCAATATTAATCACTTTACCGCTTGACACTGGATCGACTGATATGATCATGTAATTGCCAAATAACACGGTGAGTTTGAATCTCGCTTGGTACGTACAAGGCTTTAAGTGTACATGTATGTATTGGATAAAAATAGTTTTTCCATTCCGATTGTTCCATTGTTGATGTAGCGCGATGTATATATTATTTATTTTATAGAGCTTAGCAAGGTTGCATCGGGAAACCGTTACTTTTCTGTTTTGAAGGTTTTATTCTTGGCTAATTGCTATTGCCAGTTTCACTATTAATAGGCCTTGATGCTAGAGTTACGAGAAACTGATTATGGTGGCATTGGTGAAGCCCGGCTGAAAAACTCCTATACATTGAAAGTATAAAGGAGGCGACAGGCTGAAACGTTTGCCATTGTGATGAGCTGTAGCAAAGTGACCGAAAAAGCAGTTGCCATAGCTTTCTGTAAAATAGGACATGGTCTTTACATCTATTCCCAAAACAAGCCTTGTGGCCCCCATCTTGATACTACCTGAAGTGTGTTTTGACTATCCCCTCTACTTCCCGAACTATCAGGGGTGCTGCGTTATGTTTTGGCAATCCCCAGCCCAAAAGCAAAACCGTAGACCTCCCTCTTTTTAGGAAAAAAGACACGTGTTTAAAAGTTATTTAAGAGTTTATTTATTTAAAATAGCTCATGGTCACATAAATGTAACCTCCCAATTTGTTCCTTGTTTTGTTTTCAGCGTTTCAAAAATTTAAATTCCAGGCTGAATGAGTCATGCGATAATTTCAGCACGGCACATGTAGCCGCCCCTTCCTCCACCCACCCTATACCCCACAATTGATTTGGTAGATTTTAAAATATATTTGATTTACAGGTCGGATCAAATTTACCTCAATGAAGGGGCAAGGGTTCGAGCAAACTACTTCCGCCAACAACGAATTACCAATAATTTGCAGCAGCACCATGGTTTATAGTTATTAAATAATTTCAGCTCGGTGACCGCTGTCAAATAAGCACCGCAGTTTCGATAAAAGATTTACCGCGTAGCTGTGCACTACACGTGTTGTGTTCTTTCCCGCTGAAGTACCTTACGATCCTGCTTTTATGCTGTTCAGTCCGTTTATTTTTGCCAATGGAGGAATAAGTTTGCCGTGTATTCTTTAAAAACACCTGATTGGCTCCCCCCACCCAGCGTTACCATGCACTTACCGTGGTATCTCTGTGCGTGGACACACTGTATAAAGCTACCGGTTAATGCGTCCCTCACCCCAGCTGATTCCCCATGTATAAAACATTTTATCACTTTGAAAAAATAGACATACATTACACCAAGTATTTCACTTTGGGGTTTTCTTCTCAAAGTAATTGTGACCGCAGGTGCACTCATTATAAAAGTCACGATCGGCCCCAAATACCCGTCTTACGCTAGACTCGTGACATAATTACTCCCAGAGCTCGTTTTTCTGAAAATCACCACCGCTCCTGTTTCCAAAGATCCAATTTGCCTCGCACAATATTTTTGTACGGCGCTCCAAGAGTGTATAAAAAAAACTTCAATAATTTATCATGTTATGTCGACATAAAGCGGAGAGTAAGGCGACTTACCACCAAAAATCTCCAAATCGACCTCCAAAGTCGAAATGTATTATATATCTCGCCAAGTCATCTTATCGAAGTCGACATGACAACTACATCGGCCTCCCGAAAAGGTTGTGATGTCTTGTGCACATCTCGTATCTTGCCAAGTCGACTTAACGAAGTCACCAAGACAACTTCTCGGGATGTATTACCTTGCCAAGTCGACTTCCTCAAAAATAAGCGGAAATGACAACTTGTCTGCATCTCATGTTTGTCTCATCAAGTCTACCTAGCGAAGTGGCGTAAATCTGTGCTGAAAATAGGATGGGTGGGGGTGGGGAAAGGTGGGGGATGACTTGTCTGGCCATGAAAATTTGAAAAGTGTGTGAGGGGGCACCACATAGTCTTTACAGGCGGCCATGTTCATGATAAAGATGCACATCTGTAATGTGTATCAAATTCATGCAAAGCCTTATATCAGAATGGCGTATTTATGGCTTTTAAAATTGTTTTCCTTGTTTTGGTGATATTGTAAACATTTTAGTCGTTAGTAAATCCTAAAAATTCTTCACATTCCACTCTTTTTTTGGTTGTCACAAAAAATGTGGGATGATTCAAACAGCCCACCCCCCGCCCCCCCCCAAAAAAAGAAAGCTGGGGGGGGATATAAACCCCATCCCCCAGGATTTACGCCCATGCTGGCGCCATGTACAAACCTCTTATCTTACCATGTCCTCTAAATGAAGTCAACGTGACGAATTGCCGAGAAATTAACTTGCCAATGTGGCATGTACTTCGATACTCGAGACTCAAACCAATGAAGTATATATACATTTATAGTCAAGTCTTTATTTTATTTTCATTTTTTTAATTTTCAGCTGTGTTTCCTGCAGTCTTATTTCAATGGTAACTCGTTGATTCATTCCCACGTTGGTAGGGAGAGTTTATTTTGTTGGTAGCGATGCGAAAGGAATGCTTGCGATTCATAGTTGTTCGTGACCCAGCGATGTGCAGTTAGGCCAAGGCCGTTTCCAATACTCAACTTCGTCTCCGTCTCAAGCTTTGTTCCCAAAACCAATCCCCGACTGTAGGTCTGAAGCGTTTAAATTACATTGGATTACTGTAATTTTTGGCTTTCTTCCATCTTATTTGCTGTTCTGTGGCACGATTAGACTGATTACTGCGCTTACAGCTTCAAAGTCAGCTAGTAAATAATAATAAAAAAACAACAAAAAACAGTTGAAGCCTCAGGCAGAACCGAAATTGAGTGTTGGGAAACGGCCCAAAGGAGCCTCTGTTGCCAGGAATAGTGCGCCCTCTCTGCGTCTGGCTCGGCGCCTGTTGGTCGAAGCGGCATGTAACGCTCGCATACCACCTGTCCATATGAGCGTTGTGCCACCGCAGTAACGGCTGCTGCGACCCCTACACCTGCTGTGCATAACGGGACAAATTTCCTGTGCCCCCAGGTGACCTAAAAAGCGGATGAATGGATATTGAACAAGCCTAAAAGAAGCTTGCCCCCGAAAAACCACATCCCTGAAAGGATGTTAGTGCCCCCTTGCGCCCCCAGTAAAATCCTAGCTACGCTACTGGTATGAAACACTTACCTTTGAAAAAAATAATCCGTTCCTCTATAAATCAATAACGACAGAGCAAACTCATTTTAAATATCCGCCTACCCTATAACGAATTCGACTGAATTTATCCCCAGAGCATGCAAGTCCCCGACTGTGTAATCGGGCCATAATGTTTTTGAGTTTGTTTTCTCTCGGATGTTTTGTTTGAGCCACCTTTTTTCTCAACGCAGATTACTTCCAATAAAGTCCGTCGTTACACAGCTGAGAAACAGTTTTTTAGGTTTTGAATTTAATTTGGCCTTGGTGATTTGTTAAGTTGTTTAAATAAGAGTGTAAATGGGTGGTTATTTAAAACAGAGAGTGATCGATTTATATCTTTACACACATAGAAGTTTAGAAACAAATACATCAGAAACTGTCCACATGAGAAACTCAAATTCCTTCTCAGAATACGAAGGGTATGTAATAAGAATTTCAGCAATAGTAAAACCCAACCCCCCCTCAACGAAAAACAAATCCAGAAAGTTACAGTATTCTTGAAATTTCAAACTTTCAAGAGTAAGTTAACCTCCACATCGATCATTACGACTTTGTGGGGTGTGATTATAGTCTGAGTGTCAGTTCTATGGAGCAAGAGTGTATTTCACATACACTAAGGTCGAGTTCGGGCGGTCTGTTCTTGACACGGGTTTCTTGTTCTCGCGCTCGAACGGCGGGAACACGACTCAAGAACACTGTTCTCGGAACAGGATCACACACCACCTCCTCGTCGGGGTTTTACAGGAACACACGGAAAAACTCGTGAGATTTGGATTTTTGAACAGCTGCAAAAGTGGAGAGGTGGCTTCCAAAGCCATAGACCATGTAGACAATGGGAAGTTTTGCAACATTAACAATAATTATTTTCCCAAACACAGAAATGAATGTTCCTGTTTATATAGAAAAGAATTCAACCCAGCCAAAACTTAACTCTCGAGTAACGTACATATGCTGCCATGTTGCATGTTGTTTGTTTCTTCCTGGCGTTCGAGCGGCCAACCCACGAATAACAAATCGAACTGTTCGTGAACATACGGGAACAAGCCGCCCGAACTCAGCCTAAGATGAGGGAAATTATTCCCATCCTTCCAGAATCTTTTTGCTGAATAACGTGTCATGCCTACTTTCATTTCATTTTGGTTTGGTGTCTTTGTTTGTTTTCAAGAAATTCCATCCACGTCTTCAAGCACATTACTGTGCGCTTTTCAAATAGAATCCCATTTTTTGCCAATTTTTCTTACATAATCTTAATTCTAAATTCTCAATTTTTAGGGACTTTACATGTAAAGTGACACTCCTTATCATTACAAATGAGTATGGAGTTTGAACTCAATCAGAGTTTTGCTGTTACACGGTCATGTCCAGTTCAAGACTACACGCATGCTAGCCCTTGTGCATTGAACACTGCAGTGGAATACGGATAGAGTTTTGGCTGACCCATTTTTCCGTTTAAAAAAGGGCGCTGCACAAGAACGGTATGTTTGATTTTCATTAAAAAAAAACATGGTGTGAACTCTGACTAATAATGCACTGCGGAAAAAATAAACCAACTTACTCTATAGAGGGCGATATTTATGCAAGCCAGCGGTAAGCGGTTGTGGGGTCCATACATGTATACAGTGCTGGAGACGCGGGGCACATCAAACTGTCCTGTCCCGTAACTTTTGTGATATTCACATAGCGGACCGGACACTTCTCGAGAACAGCAAAGAGAGAGGTGCGTTGATAGCTAATACCGGCAACATAATTAATTAATATCAAGATGTATTTTTGTGGTGGGGAGATGTTAATTTATATAACGGGTTTTGCCCTTACCCAACGTACATACGTACATGTACACATGTATATATTATTAATAAACACTGTATACTCAGTGCTTGTCCGAGAGCTTGCAAAAAAAGTCACAAGCTTACTCGGGTGGGACTTGAACCCACGACCTCCTGCTTACTAGTGCAGACGTCGTCTTAACCACTCGACCACCGAGCTTGCTGGGGTTGGCTGGCCGGTCCAAGTCAGGTGAAGCAGCGGGTACCGCAAACTATTTTCAAAAAATAGTTGGCGGTACCCGCGACTTCACCTGACTCGGACCTGCGGACCGGCTAGCCGACCCCGACAAGCTCGGTGGTCGAGGGTTAAGACCTCTGCACTAGTAAGCAGGAGGTCGTGGGTTCGAGTCCCACCTGAGTAAGCTTGTGACTTTTTTCGCAAGCTCTCGGACAAGCACTGAGCATACGGTGTTTATTAATAATATATATGTTGGGTAATGGCAAAACCCGTTATATAAATAATTAATTAAACTTCAGCTCTTTCCCTGCATGAGCCATCATAAAGCGACATTGTGGACATGGTGGATATGTCCTAAAAAGAAATGAAAAATGTCCATTTTTTCGTGGGCCTATTCCATGCCCGGGGGGACATGCATAGGGCGCACGTGCCACCCCCACCTCCAATGGGTGCCCCCTCCCCAGTTTGAAATCCAATAGAGTACCGAAGTGTGACGTCACTGTGAACCAGAAAGTACAGTGCAAACGAATGGAGTACACGCGCGTGTTGGTTCACGCACTGGTTCTCGCACTGATGCCTTTTACACACTAATTGTGCGCGTGACGTATTCACTTTTGTACTCTATAAGCCTTTTTCCATGATTCATGTGCGCATGCTCAGAAAGGGACAGAGGAGAACAAAATCATGACAACATTGTATAACTTTGGCAAATGCTGCTTGCCTTACTGCATGTCTGTTGCAGTTTCAATTTGAGTTTAGGATCAGGAGGATATATTGTAACTTAGCCTACATTTTATGAAAAGGAACGACTAAATTTGTTCCTCTCTAGCCTTCTTCACATGGGCAGTTCCCTGTGACTGACATTATGTTTTTTTTTACTGATTTTGAATATTCAACCAGCTTTGATTGATGTTTCAATAATGACAGCCAGTTGAACATTGTCTGGTATGGCCATGGGGGATACTTGGACCTGAATGCAAAATACAGTTTTGATTTTTTTAAATTTCATGGTCAGCTTCTCTAACTAGGTGGGTTGTTCACCTTTCCTGTTTTTAAAAAATGTTCAAAATTGTCCAATTGTTTTCAAAACCTCAACAGTTTGTTAATTTTCAGATACTGTCCATAAGTGTCTGTTGGGCATATATATGTAAATTGGTTTTCTGGTGAGATTTCTCCAAATTTTCTCGTTATTAATTTGGCACATTTATTGCCACTTATGCAAAAACTTTGATTTCACTGAAATAAATAACTAACTGACATGAGTGTGTCATCCAAACATCTGCCTCGACGTGTGTATACTGTACATGCCCATTACCTGGCATGTCATGTTCTGTTTCCGTTGATGCTGATTGCTTGCAAAAGTCATCTGCCAGTTATTCAGGTAAGAGAACAAGACCAAAGTGGCAAAAAGTTGTTGCTTGTTAGAACCTTTTAACCACTGGAGATGCAGAAAGGAACAATTCTTGAAGATTTTTACTAATTCACTGGTACATGTACATGGTGTAGTTTTGGAGAGGCAGAAGTATTAAAGCTTCTAAGGTTACTTCTGTTCATTCTGTCTTTGTTTTGCAGTTGGCACTTACATGTAAGCACAGGGCATAGTGGACAGTCTACAGGAGAGCCTAAACTGGATTATTATTGACTGGATTTTTTCCAAGGCTAAAATTAAAAATGGAGGGTTTTTCATTGTCTTTCATCATTTTGTGCATCTTGGCAGGTAAGATTTCCTGTTCTCATTGCAAAGACGTACATGCTTATTTGTCTGACAGCTAACTTTTCTGGAAAAAATGGCAAGTATGCAGACATTCTACCAGAGTGAAACATGTAACCTTGATAGAAAAACCAAACCACAAAATTCAAAGAAATAAGAACAGCGGCAGTGTAATGTACACTGTACAGTGTGGGTTTCTTTTGGTGGAGTTATACATGTAAGTAGATTGACAATTCTTTGAAGTTCTAAAGAATTTGTGAATGTCCAGTATTTGGTGCATCCATGAAGATGTACATGTATATAGGTTATTGTCAATGGCGATTAACAAAGTACTATTTGTAAAAACGTGCACTGCAAGCTGCTCAACAGCTAGAGGGAGAGTGATTTAGATACAAAGTTTGAAAAATATTATTTAGTGGTGTATATAGTTTTCGTGTTTTTTAAAATTTTGTTCCCTGGAACCTTGTAGACGGAACCTTTTAAATGATAGTGAAAGCAAGATGCATGCACACTCTTGGAGTCACATGCTTTTCTGTTTTTCTGTGCAGTGTTAAGTTTCCTTCTCTATTTGCCATTACTGGTGTATTCGCTATTGGATGATAGTGGCACATGATATTAGCTGGAATCCTGATTCTGATCCTTACATTGCATAATTTTCTGTGTATGTTGTTTTACACTGAAGAGTTAATTAGCTTGTTTAGGTTGCAAAGGCAACTCACTAAGTACGCGCATACTTTTTTTGGTGATTTTCTGAACTGCAATAGTTAGTGCTGCTGACGAGGATGGTCCAGTGGTACATCTTGGCCAATCATCAGCTGTGAAAGGGTTCATCACGCGGGCAGTTGACTCCCAGACACCAGTCTACAACTTCCGCAGCATCTACTATGCAGCGCCCCCTACTGGCAAACGGCGCTTTGCACCCCCAGCACGAAGGAAGCCCTTTCAGGGCCTGTCTGATGCCACCAAATTTGGGCCGCTCTGCCCCCAAGATATAGAGCTGACGGTGAAGGCATTCGCTGGGCTGCCCATGCCGACATGGGAAATGAGCGAAGACTGCCTTCACCTCAACATCCACACCCCGTCCTTGGATGTGGAGGCAAAACTGCCCGTCATGGTTCACTTCCCTGGGGGTGCCTTTGCCAACGGGGGCGCAGGTTTCTATGATGGAACAGCCCTCGCCGCCAACCACCAGGTAGTTGTAGTGACAGTTAACTATCGGCTTGGTGCACTGGGCTTTCTGAGCACTGGCGACTCAACATTGCCGGGGAACTACGGCCTCTTGGACCAGGGAGCGGCCCTACGCTGGATAGCTTCTAACATCAAGAAGTTTGGCGGGGACCCCCAGACCCTCACCATTATGGGGGAGTCGGCGGGTGCCATGAGCGTACACTTCCACATGCTCTCCCATGTCAATGAGAAGCTCTTCCGACGGGCCATCGCCCAGAGTGGAGCTGCCAATGCGCCCACCGCCCTGGTGCGTGACCCCAGGGAGCTGGCTGAGAAGCTGGCCAACGCTTTCCATTGTCCCACCGAGAATGCCCGGGCTATGGTAGAGTGCCTTCGCCAGAAGCCAGCTGACAAGCTCGGCAGGGTCCGGCTTACCAAACGCCCCATTGAGTTTGGCCCTGTGGTAGACGGGTTCTACCTAAAGGACGACCCCAGAGCCATCCAGTCAAAGTATCAGCTCCCAAGGAAGGAACTCCTGACGGGCTTTAATAGTGATGAGGGAGGACAGTCCATTCTAGACACCAGAGGAACAAAGGATTTTTTTGAAAATCTCTCAGCAAAGACATTTGACACTTTCCTAGAAGAACTGGTAAGGATTACACGTCAAAAGAGTGGATTTTCAATCAGAGTGTCATGTGTCCAGTCATTCCTTGACAGCAGCAAAGCATTTTATAATCAATGCCAGAAACAGTCACAATTTATACATTAATTAAACTTAATAAGGTGATCAACTCAGGCCAGTGGAGCTGTGTGCTTTATCATTAGCTTGAGAATTGGGCATCCAAGAGGTTTAAAAGGAGGGTAGCTGGGTTGGAATTTTGGGAATGAGAAAAGGAACTGATTTACAAAACGCTATTCATAAAAAATTGTTTTGTACTGGCAGAGTGGAATAATCAGTAAGATTATATTTTCAAATAAAAGACGATCAAGGCAAAGAAATTGTGTGGTTTCTATCAGCATTCTAGCTTTTTGATACCTCACAGAGGTCAACAACCTCCGGTACTGAGATTGTACTTGAGAATAAGGCCCTGAACCATTGAAATGTTGCCTAAGTCCATGATTTATGTCGTTAGTTTTAACACTGACTTTCCAGACAAGTGCAAGGATGTTCATCATTCCAGTTACCAACCAAAATGTTCATCATTCCAAATACCGCACCAACCTAAATGTTCAACAAGGAAAATACCGGTTGTCATTCTTAGAGTTGAACTCTAGTGGCTAGGCTTCCCACAAAAACTTTCCTCTGTGAAATCTCTTGTTTTCCTTACAGCTCTACCTCACGGTCCCGAAAGATTTGCCAGTCAAGCCCCTTGCCCGGGCCATCACCAAGATCTATATAGGAGACAGGTCACTGAAGGACGATGATGAGGCCAGGCAGACCATCTCAGATATCGTCACTGACAGCATGTTTGTTTCGCCAGCGATAACCACGGCAAACACACTCAGCCGTAAGATCAACTTGTGGGGTTTAGTTCAAAGTATGGGTGTTGTGTGTCTGTCAAGGAATTTCGTACTGTTACTGCCATTATTGAATGGCATGACTGGCATGTTGCCATCCTCACCATTGTTACTGTATTCACCAGCACTGTTATCAACAGTACCACCATCATTGTTTCCTTGACGATCACCTCAATGGACAATTCCCCCCCCCCCCCCGGAAAAAACAGAACAACAATGTGAGAATTTGCTTGAAAAGCCTCAAAATTGATCCCCCTTCCACTGTCTATGGTTCATCAGTTCGTAGCTGAAGAGTGCTTTGCCACCCCCAAATTCCCCCACGCCCTGGGAAATGTCCTTGCTATGCCCATGATCATCTTCTGTAATCACATAGAGCAAGGCCCCACAAGCACATGATCATTAAACTTACCTCAACATAACCATTACCTCATCAACTTGCCTCATAATCAGCATGACCTCAACTCAACTCATAGTCACCATCATCTCATCAACCTGCCTTGTAATTGTCACCCCTGTCTTCATCCTCATCACCTCCATTGTCATCACAGTCTTAGCAGCTATCACCACTGCCAAACTTTCCAAACCATAATCACCATCATAATTGCTACATGTACGTACATGTACCATCACTGCTAGTGCTATAGATGTATTTTTATTTTATCGCAGTCAAAACAGGCAATCCCTTCATTGGGACAGCTCAATCCTCCACTTTCTGCACTGCTGTCTTTGTTGTAAAAATTATTGATCTGTTCAATTCTGGTAGTTTATGAAATTTTTTAGTCTGATAGATATTTAAAAGTTCAGTTCCACATTTGCAGCCGTCCATGAAGTAACTGACCAAAATTATTGTTGAAAAGCACACTTGGTTTAAAGATGTTATAAAGATGACATAAATTTTTTATGAAACCAAACGAACATCACCATCATCATTGTCATCAGCCCCTACCCATTCACTACAGTAATCTAGAATGCCAAAACATTCCTCTTGAAGTTTCCTTTAAGCGTGTTAAAACCCTGATGTTCTTCCCGCAGACAATGGACTGAGCATCTTCCTGTACGAGTACAAGCACCGATCCTCCTTCTCGAGCCTCCCCCCTTGGGCCAAGGCAGACCACGGGGATGAGGAGGCCTACGTCTGGGGTGAACCATTCATGGAAGGCAGAGGGGTGGAGCCCGAGAAGTTCACGGAGGAGGAGAAGGAGTTGTCTCGGACGATGATGGTGTACTGGACTAACTTTGCCAAATACGGGTGAGTCGTCAGATCCGCGTGAACTAGTGGTGTATCCAGGTTTTGCAGCCATTGGTCAATTTTTTTTTCTATTTATTACTAAATAAAAAGAAAAAACTGGCTTCGAAAGTTGCCAATTGGCTTCGCTTTTTTCCAGAAAGCAATAGTTTGAGATTGAAGGGAAAAGTACATGTAGCCTGTCCTATTTATTACCTGGTGGTATGTACACGTACATGTATGAAAGCCCCAGAGTTTTGTTGTGAGCTGCATCCCTCCCCCCCAGTCATGATGCCCTGCTTATTTAAAACTGTGTTTATGCAGAGTACATGCAGTTGTTAAGGGGAAAAGGAAGAAAAGGTATATACCCAAGCCACATGTACTGTATGTATAGACATTTTCACAGTCCCATGTGTTGAGTTGCAAAACGAGGTCATGCTACACTGTTTTTCCCAAAAGGTTTGTTGGTGTTTGTGGGGTTACACTCTTTGTAAAAGAGCTTTGAATTAAAATGCGTCTAGGTGGCAAGATGAGCAAGAGATAACAAATGAATGATTGATTGTTTCATACATAAACATCCAAGCAGGCTTTGGAAATAAAATGGCTGCTAATCTGAAGTTGTTGCAACTCATGTACATGTATCGGCCTTGAGCAGAAGCACCCCCTCATACATGTATGTTGAAAAGAGCTGTGTTGGTTGGGAGTATTCATTTGGTTGGTAGTGATGCAACTGCAACGTTTGCATTTCCTAGTAGTCCGTGCACAGTTAGTACCAATGGAGTGCCTGTTGCCAGGGAAAAAGTGCCTTCTCTTGGCCCAGCTCGAGGCCCATACGTACATGTATACAGTGAGAAGGTGTCATACCCGTATACAAGACCAACTCCAACAATGCTAACTTCTCTCATATTGAAACTTATTCAGAAGAGCCAAATCTAATAAAAGTGGCACGTATCAATGCCCTCCTTTGCAGTGCACGTTTTGTGTTAATAAAACACAGTTGTTGTACCCATTTTTCCTGCGAGTCCAGTTCAGTATTGTAAAAATCATCATAAATAGGCGAATATTGATTTTTGAGATGTATTAACGTGGAGAGGAAATACCACAGTGTGTGGACTTTAGGCTGCATAGCACGCATACATAGCTGCGGACGACAGCACGAACCTCAAGAATGCTCTCATTCGTACATGTACGCTTGTAGCGGAACCAGTTTTGCCACGGATACCAGTTTCAATTTTTCTCCAGTATTACGTCATATAAATTTTGTTTTTCAACAGCGCCGCCAGCGGTCAGATTGTGGAAATTTTTCATAAAACCCAAAGACACCATTCAAATGTTTTGGCAAAATTACAAAAAATACAGACGTAATACAGACATGAGTTAGTTATGAATATATGATTTATTACACACTAAACACAATCATAGTTTATTTTCAAAGCTTTTGAAACTGTTGGAGTTGGTCTTAAAATGCATTTGCTGTTTTAAGTCACTCTTTTTTAGGCACAGACCACTGTCATTCAGTGCATAATCTGCCAAAATATTTGAATTCACCAAAATTAGTTGGGGGAGTTACAGGACAGTGATGAGATATTTGGCACCTCCCCATTTGCTGCTGTGGTCAACATCGCTATCTGTTGATGAAAAGGCTAGAAGCCACCATGAAATGTACCCATGTGGTTGTCATGATGTCTACCCCTTCACTTCCTATTTTTTCCTTCAGTTCATCAGAAATTTGTAAATTTCCAGAAAAATGAAATTCTGGGTTTGGTCTTACCTGTCATTGTCCATTAGCTGTCACGGTGGTCACACCCCCCCTAACAAGATTGCCAGAACGATGGAAAAAGAGTTTTTGTTTTGTGACAGGACTCCGAATGGGCTTTCTGGGGCTGATGATGACTACCATCCCGTTCCGCTCTGGCCCCAGTACGAACGCAGTGAGAAGAAATACCTCAATCTGGGCGTGAGTCCCTGGGTATCCCAGGGTGCCAAGGCGGAGAAGGTGGACTTCTGGAACAAGCTTTACTCCTTCTGGAAGTTGGGCAGACGGAAGAAGGATGAACTATAGCGAGTTTGGCCGTTAGTCAGGAGGTAGGAAGGGGTGTGTCAGAGTTCCTTTGAAGAATTTTATTTTGCTCTACATCTTGTTTATGTTTCTCTCCAAGGATCTTGTATTCTGGAATATACGTCAAGGTAACATATACCTCACAATGCTTCACTTAAGAAGTCTGTTACCCTTTCTCTTTCCTGCAGGGCTAAGAATAAAATGCTGTGTCAGTGGGGAATCTGGGTTTTTTTCAAAGGGGGGGATTTGCCAAGTTTTTAGTCAGGCTTTGCATAAAGGATTGGGTTGAGTGTTGTAGGTAACAGTATCTCACAATCCCTGTATTTGTAGAGTGCCTTATTGCCTAAGGATTCATAGCACTGAAACGATGATAACCTGTGTTGATTGGGTCATCATATCAAATCTCTGCAGCTGTGCGCAACACTTCAACCTATAACCTCATGTGATGATTGAAGAAGTGCAGTAATGTTTGATGCTGGGGTAAGAATGAAGGAAAAAAAAACACTTTTTGATAGCAATCCTGTGGTTTTTGCAGCCAAGGTATGTCACCCACTGTTCTTGACCAGAATGCTAGAGCAGATCAAAGTCCAGACAGTGTCCACATAAGTCACCAAAATCACTAAACCTCAACAATGTTGGACATATGCAGGGTGCATGGTTTCAACCAGAGTTGTTAAGACTCCATCCGTGTTGATTATTAGTGCCATCCTTAGCACGACCAACTTCCATACCAGTTGGATCACTGGCCAGCCTAGCCATTTTAAACAGCTTGTATGGTACTCGTGAGGTATCATTATGATCAGTTGGACTAAAACGTAAGGATTTAAACTCCAGTAAAGCAGGACTGATATGGGGTTTCCAGCTGGAAAACATTAAAAAATCACAAATTTCAGCGAAATGCATACTTTTGGATTCTGCACGTATACATATTTTAAATACATCTGTTTTCTCACAAGTTGCTCAGGAATATAGCCAGATGTTGTTAGTATGCCCTATTTGGCAATGGTGGCAATTGACACCTGGACTGTGCCTAACAGCTTTTATGATACTGCAGTGGTTTGCTTTAATGTAATATTAGATTAGTAAATTATGTAAAGAAGGTGAACTTTGACCAGGACAGCTGAAGAGTGTCAGCTGAGCTCGAGACGTTGAATGATGTGAAGGGCCAAGTTGCTGCATGGTGGCAAATCTGTAAGCAGTTTAAAGTGGCATTACTGTCTGGTGCTCTGTTCGGCGGTCACGTTTCGCCAGTCGTTTTGATACTTTGTTATTAAGCTGTTTGAGAACAATCAACAAGCTCTGCCCTGAAACGTGACCCAGGTTGTCTCGATAAAATCTACATGAAAAGATGGGTTTTGTGCAAAATATAAAATCCTAGTGATGCAGTATCACAGTACAGCTGTTGATGCTGTAAAAAAAACTGTTTTATTACCATTGTTTAGTCTGTTGTATGTGTGACAAGAGTGAATGCCAAATATGCAACTCCTTGATATGTTGGCCAGTAGATGTGATTAAAAATCCACCTTTGGTAAATGCCCTGTGATGTCAAAGTTGCATTGTGCTTTAGCTACGAATATGAACTGGCTTTTTTCCAGAGTATGTTTTATGGATGTGTATTCTCAGGGAGAAAGTATTTTCTTAAAGCTTCCCAAATATTAAATTATGTTCATGTCAAAAGGCAATTAAGATTGATTCACTTGGTATTATATCCCTGTTTAGGATCTCATCATTTTGAGATCACTATCCTTTTAAAATACATGTTAGTGAATCATCAAGCCTATATTCTATGTTATGAAGATATTGTGGTCGTTCTGTATTTTCATTATTCCCCATTCAGTCCAACAATCAAGTTGTAACTGATTCCCCTGTCCGGTGACAATGGATGAGCCCCCTTACACCGACGCTGCTTTTGCCATTGACCCATTTGTTATTTTGCTCCAGAATTTAGACTTTGGGAAATGTATAACACAGGCAAACACAGGAATGTCAAATATGTCAAGTTGATGTAGGACATTCCTGATCACACCATGACTATAATAGACACATGTATACTCACACTATAAACTATAGTATATTACAATGCACTTTGTGCGTGCATTGTATTTGAATGCAACTGTACATGTATCATTTTTGTGTACCAGTGTACACATTACACACAATTGTTTAAAAAAATAATAAAGATGTTAACACTCTAAACCTGCAAACAACATTCTATTACATTAATATGTGTCTATTACATTATAAATTACATTTTGTTTTCAGTGTAAAAGAAATATGTTAAGTGTAGAATGAGATTCACGATGTATTCTTTGATGACATTAAACAGGCCACTTACTTGCATGCTGATGGGGGGTTGACAAAGGGAATGGGGTTATCGGCGAATGAGGCCTACAGTTTATGGAAAAATAATCATCTTCAAATGTACTTGAAGATTATGTCACTTGAAAATTATGTCACTGGCGGTTACAGGTTCGAACCCTGTTGAAGTAACTTGATGTCTTCTTGCAGGCCTTCTGAGTAACAGAACCTTCTTTCAATTCCCCGTCTCTGCATGGACGCTAAAATCACATCATTTCAATTGCATTCTGTGCAGTTGAATTATTTAGCAGGGAACTCTCTCAATTTAAGGGTCCATGCAGTGTAATTTGTGAAACGAAACGCTTTAAAAATACACATCTGTGTGCCACGTAGCCCTGTGTATTACAGTAAGTTGTGAAATAAGGGGTCTGCTGAGATCTACGGGTACATCACAGTTTTGGTGTTAGCGTACTTGTAAATACACAAGTAAGGTAACGTTATTCATGAAAGCTGACAAAACCGGCAAATTTATACACAATTCTGAAAGCAGAAGTCGGCCATAAACCCAAACGTATCAAATACACCGGAAGAGGTCTTTGTTTTACATTACAAGGAAATAACCTGATTCCCTCCCAAATAACGGTACATCTTCCTTGACTTGAAATGTGATGTAAATTTTATGGAAGTTATGATACATCTACCATCGGTTACATATATACGCAATTTGTCCTTCACACGGTACACCTCCGATCTTTTTATACTTTATGTACGTTCAGATTTATTTATATCAACTGCTTACCCTTCATATCCTTGCTTTCATGTCTGAAATATTTGGAAGACAGTTTGACTTTAATTCAACTGCATTATATAACCTCTGCCCTTGAACCCTTTTTTTTTCTTGACACTCTGAGATTGCATCGTTGAAATAGTTCTTAAAGCCCCTCTCAGCCGCATGCCAAAAGAGAAGGATTCCACTGTTTGATACCTCTTGTCTTTCCACGTCAAGTATTAGAACGAGCTACACATGATCGTCCATCTGGTTGGTAGGAAGGTAGGCGTACATGTGCATACATTTACACGTACATTGTATATCGCACTAGCCTTTAGCTCGTGGTTGATGTTCTTCTCAACATCCTGACCATTCATCAAACGCAATACGAACCATCAATGCCACAGATTAAGACAGTATTACCACTGAAAAAAAGTATTTTTGGAACATTCTGGTTTTACACGAACAAATACATGATGATGAAAATAACGGTAACCATCATGTTTTTAACTTCAAGCTATAGGTTTCTGAGAACTATAAGTTGGCTCATGTTCACCGTTCAACCATTTTGTTGTACATGTACTAAGCTTCTGTAGTCATTTATCTGATCTGAAAGTCTGTCTGATGTGACCTTTCTACAATGTAACCTTATGACAAACTGCCTGTCAATAATAATGTAACATCGTCAACAGCAACGGTAGTACAACTCGATGTGTGCTAACACTAACGTCGACATTTGTTTGCCTTTTGAAGCGAGGGCGTTTTTCAAGTCAGTAATTTGACGTAAACCGTGTTTACACAAAAACATAAAAAGTGTACCCAACCAATTAGCGCTCTCCTGTCGTATATCCGTCATGCTTCAAATGGGCTAATTAGAAGTCTCCACCGCTATTTAGCGCTAAAAGTTTTAACTTGATAAGTTTCTAAAAATATCATTTTTAATTAACTGTTATAAGTACCGTGGTAAATCTACACTGTGTAGGTGCAATCTGAGAATTTTTTTCAGGAGCAATTACATACATATGAAGAGCTTATCGTAACTTTTTGTACAAATTTGAAATTATGAAAAAAAAAAGATGGTAACATTTTGCAGCTGTTGATTATTTGCTTTGTTTTGTCAAGAGCACACAGGTTTTCCATTGTCGCGTTTGAGAGACCGACCGAGATGAATCGCCACTGAAAAATGTTCACACCTAAGTAATTTGATAATGGACAAACAAGTTGAATTTACTTCACAGACGGCACATAATGAGGTCGCAGTCACCAAAGCGTTGAGGGGAATAATGAAATATGCTTGATGTGGTATTAAATACTATGCAAAGTTTTGAAGCCTGGCTCCATGCGCCCAATGTGGGTTTCTTCTGTTGTCCCGTTGTATTCAGTAGGCCTAATGTTAGATTTTCCAGACCGCTGTTTGTTATAAATACCGTTGCGTGAATGGTAATATTAGTTGTAAGGAGTGTCCAATGATTGATTTTTTTAATACTTTCGTTTTATGTTAATTCTTTTTATCTCACCTTGATTTATACTGTAAAGATTTGCAATAACAAAAAGAAACAAAGGTTTTCAGTGTCTCAGTTCTGATTATTTTGTTCACATGTTCATATGTACGTTACAGATCACCTATCCTTTTCGAATATCTTTTCACCTATCGTACAATTTTTTGAAATTTTCTTTTTATCCTGCCCAACAGTCACAGTTACCTCCACGAGAGAGAGAAAGAAGTCATCATGTACCATTTATCCCTGAAGTAATCACCCCCATCACTCGTTATATTCCACAAGATGCGCGTATATCGTCCAACCTGTTGTGGCACGGATATCCATATTCCAGTGTAAATTAGACTGATTGTATTTACTCCCATTTCATTTGCAAGATTTTGCTCATGGATTGCTTTGCGGAGCTACTCATATTTGACTTGCAGATCCACGATTATACAGGGTGTTAACATACTCAATGTCTTTACAGTTACTTTTTCCGAAAAAAGGTGTAAACAAACCAATGAAGTGATGGGATTTGTGTTAGGCGTCATTTTTTTCTTGTTCATTCATGTGGTTACATGTAGACCGGTTTCTGAATCTTATAGGCCTACAGATAAGTAAGTTAAAAACCTCTATAATGGATAAATGGTTGGGCCCTTCACAGCACTGTAAGCAAAATGTATACTGCTTGTAGTCTCCAATGCTAGTTTTTAAAACCAAAATGGAAAAAGAAGCAAGTTGTTCAACTTCTAAATTGTAGCTGCAATGAATTTTTCCGAGACACAAATTTTCTTCAACTTTGTATTCTTGTTCAATGTATGAAAACTCTACCCATTTGGTTATATGCATATAAAAGTGCAGTTTTTTAAAACAATCCAAATTAACCAAGCTTTCCTGGACAACTAAGGCCGCTGTTGCTTTAAAGTCATCTGGGGAAGACATGGTTCAGTGCATAGATTTTTCTGTTCAAATTTTGAACCCAGAATTTACTTACTGACAACAGTTATGAGAGAGGTTGGTGTTTGCTTATTGCTTTGCACATAAACAATGAATCAGCAAAGAAGAGAAAACTGAGTCCAGCAAAATCGACAAAAACGTGTGTGCGCAAACCAATGTAACATTGAAGCTTTCTTCCTAGGATGACATCACAGTTTTGCTCATATACATGAATATGGAAATACTCAGCATAAAAACTAAAAGGCAATAAAAAAAACACTTCAAAATAGCGAAGCATTTTGAAGGTCTGCATTGAAACAAATTGATTGCAGCTACCATGTAAATCTTATCAAGAGCATTATAGCACCATTATATTTACTTGTAGAGAATAATATAGTCTAGAATACGCTGGACTGGCCCAAACCAGATAATGTTACATTGCGATAATGCTGAACGCTCAGTGAATTAAACAAAAAAGTACTGGTGCGGTTTAAGTTTAAGAATAACAAAAATTCAAGATGGCTGCTTTGTGAAGAAGATCTTCAGTGGTGTTGATTTAACATGCAGAAGAACAACATCCACAGCGTGAGGCCCCTCTCTGAATTCCTGCCAATATCATATTATTTGGAGCGCGCACGTTCCTGGCGGCTTTCCATCCCCTGCATGATCGCGGCGCAGTTATGCACGGCATCCTACCCACGCCCGCCGAGGCCGGCTCGCCCAATCACGTGGAGACTTGGTCCTCCCCGACGTCGGCGGATAAAAACCCCAGTAAGTTGTACCAGTGACGGCTGATGGACAAATACGGTAGTTGGTCAGTATACCAAGCTAAAAGACAGATGTCGTCAAGAAAAGGTCGGACACTTCATCCCAAAGAATAAAATCGCGCCTGTATGGATGTACATGCACATGCCTCTTCTAAAGTTTTGACCTTGGCATTTGGAAGTCTTAGATTTTGTGGTACATACCTGTGTGTATGGGAGTTAAACGTATGGGTTGTGAGCTGTTAGCACCGGGGTAGCCACTCAAAGTAGAGTGGCAATGATTGAACTTTACCCTTGTTCGAAATGAATTACAAGAACAGCCAATAGCATCTAAGGCAAAACGGTTTTAATATCTTGTGCAAAATAAATCACTTTCAAATATAACAAAAGATCGGAATTGGTGATATATCAACACAGACTTTGTTCAAAGTAAATATTTGAAAAAGCAGGCAAAAGCTTGAATTTGTAATTATTTATAAAATAAAGTTGCAGTTTCTATAATACTGAACCATATCTAGTTGTACATGAACGAATTTAAAATCAAGCACGGCATCTTTTTGTGTTCTTTTGTCGAAACAAATATAAACCGAACAACTTTAGTGCAAATTGCGACGGCATCGTTTTCACCGTTATAACCAAGGAATCAGTTCTTATTCCTTTGTGGTCAATCAACAAAATTCAAACTTTGAAGGTGAGATTTGTGCGCATGCATTCATGCACTTCGGTGTTCCAGATCTGCCCACAGGCATGGATAACCTGAATCTTTTACTACAAGGGTTCGTGAACTACGCTCCCCAGAATAATGGCCGTCCGATTTGATGATATCGATAAATCGTCTGGAACACCCCCAGGAGAATTGTACATGTCTTCTAGAGTTACTCCAGCCTCTCAGTTTTGGCCTGGTAATGACCATAAATAAGCATCGAGTCGGATACCCATGCCTGCGGTCGTAATAACAACTGTAATGAAACTGGCAATATACATGTACATAGTGCATTACTTTGCAGAACTTGCATAGAAGTATTACAGGAACGGATTCAGACTGTTGTTTGCCATCTTTGACATTGTAGCAATGAACACAAAACTGAGAGCAAGTCGAATCAGGATCCAACATTAACTCTATATACCGGTAACCTTTGGTGCAGCCTCATATCCATCACGCTTGGAAGCCAGAAACAAAACACACAGAAAGTTGAACAGTGTAACACCTGTCGTCTTAGATCCGTTCCTTTTTTAAATACTAATGAAAACAGTCGCTTATGCAAATTTTATATGAAACAATCCGATGCGACATACAATATTTATACGTTCGTTAATGCATATTCTGAAATATTTTAGAGTCAAATTAAGTATACAGCTTTCATTAAACATAACAATTTTTCTTGCACCATAATGGCGTCTGATACATCAAGCCCTCAGTTATCAAGATGTAGCTGTCAATAACAAAGCAGTTTATCTTCATAATTCCTTAGCCACTTACTATCAAAAAGAACATTTCATGTCTCATGCGATAAATCTTCGATCAAATGTTTCCCCTTATATCTGCTGTGCATGTCTGTTTATCAAGAGACATCCAAGCCTACTCGAATATGTCCATTGCACTGCGTGCATAACGAAATATCGTCTGGTACATGTACTTCAAGTTCACCAACGCCACCGATGAATTCTTTAATGTTTTAATGTCGTTCAAAACTTTATCAAGCACCACCAGACCATCAAATATCCATGACAAATAAGTACACTTTTTTGCCCGACTATTAAACAACACCTGAGGTCGGTGGTTCGCTTGGCTCGGGGGGGGGGGGTTCCCCAAGGGGGGCAGTTGTCCCCAAGCTACGCCACTAAATTTGAATAATGGACGGCTCCTAAAGAAATTCATTGTGAAATAGATATATGTCCATGCACCCTAAAGTAACGCATTATGAACGCACTACAGATGGCTTGGAGAGCTCCCTCTCTTTTCGGGGGGGGGGGAGCAAATGTCTCGGGGGGCAGTCGCAGTCCCCTCCCCCCTTGGCATCGCCACTGCCAGAAGTTGATTCTATATTTTTGGATACGTTTTTGTCCGTAACTGATCATAAAATTTCAACATTTAAAACCATATTACTCCGTTGGAATGCGATACAAATTAGCACGTCAGAGGTGACATTCACTAAACATGTACGCACCTGGCCGGCCAGGTGCGTGCAATGCACGTCGTGCGTGTGAGGGTGAGGGTCCGTGCAAAGATCAGAGAATTAGCCAGGCACTTCGGCTCGGTATGTGATCGTTAGCTTTCCAAATGTCACTGCGCCTGCATTGTCCCAGGCGAGAGCATGACCCAAAATTGATATCACCGGGAACCGTAGCTCATTAATAACAGAAGGCGTGAGGCACTCAATTGCAAGATTCCGTACACAGCCGTGAAAAGTGCAACTCGGAAAAACACATCATTCGCTATCCACCCACGGTGACAACCGTGCCACAATTATTGTTCTGAAACAGTTTATGTGAAATCTCCAAAATTTTCACGATGTCGATGGAATGATGCTCACTTGTAGATGCACAACCATGAAAGTTCTGAAGTTTCTATGACCACATGAAACGAGCGATCCATGGTGATAACTAAAAGTTCTATTAATACGTTGTTTGCGCACGCGTGTTTTCGAATTCCATGTTGCTTTCCCCCGATTTCCATTTCAGGTCACACTTTTCATCTGTTGTGTGAAAATGGTTAATAGACTGACGATCTCCTAGTGATACTAAGAATTCCGATATAAAAGTAAGATGTTTCCAGACATTAAGGCACTGACTACAAATGGAAGACGCACGTTTTCATTTGAATTAATGAACTACACGTGGAGCAGCGCAATGTTAAACTGTTCATGGTGTTCACGTGGCGTCTATATCTCCAATGGCTGGTTCACTGTACATGTCATGTCACATGGTGTTTATTTCATTATTGACGATTTTTACAGTTTGATCGCCAATTTCGTGATCATTTTGGTTCATCAATCTCAAGATGCCTTACTTGTGCCCTTTCTTTGACCACCTCTTCCCGAAATTTAAGCAAACATCGTGTTCAGATTGAAATTGCTCTAAACTACATGTACAAAACTTGCAAAGCTGACTAACTACATGCAGTATATCGCGAAATTCAGCATTATCATACCCACACCGCGGAATCTTGATTTCAAATTCAAACATTGAAAGACACTCTTTATCTTATTTACACAAACTTTAAAAATCCTTGAAATGAAAAAGTACAATAAATAAAAAAAACCAGTCGAAAATCCCTTACTTATCTTCTTTAGCGTTCCTTTCATAAACGGTATTGTTTTTCTCAACTTGGCGCACTGGCTTCATCGTTCACAATGAGTACCAGTAGTCCTCTTTGAGCTAAATGTCTCTGAACAATTAACGATCAGCTGAGTCTCAGCAGTCACGTAAAGTTATAGTCTGACGTGATCTGATTCTGTACCCTTTTATTTTTTCTATCATTTACTTTGTGTAAAGGTTTTCCAGACATTTGCAGTTTAGTGGTGGGCTTTAGTAAAAAAACTTGTGGCCACCGATATGAAAAATATGCTTTAACTAAAAGGTATGACTTCTGGTGTTCAACTACCGAATAGTTATATCACTATCTGCGAAGTGAAAAGCAAACCTTTGAGTAACCAGGGGAAACCTTTTCTCACCATACTGATGCTGATGAAAGTTAAGATCCAAACACGAGCCTCACGCCTCCTCCTTCGCTAGGCATCACTCTAACTCCTGGCTGGCTGGTATGGACAGTCACACCGGACGTCGGATTCTGACCTTGCTGGACTCGGATGTCGCCGGTGGGGCGGGAAGAGGACTGGCGGAAAGTGATCACCTCTTGATGCCGTCTGGGTGGACCTCCCGTGCGGATGACCAGACCTCCACCACCGCCTGCATGTTGGACGTGCGTGACCTGCTGCGGTGGGTACTGCTGCTGGGGTTGTATAGGGATGCGGATGAAATCGCCGACTTGGAGGGGCGCGTTCTCCGGCATCCCCATGTTGAAGCGAAAGACGACCCCGTCCTCGCTTGACTGTTGCCTCTGCAACACGTTGGGCCTCTTGCTCGGTATCATCTTGATGACGCGGCCGCCTGGCTGCTGCTGGAAGACTTGTGCGGAATTCCCGGCAAGATTCGTGTCCGGTATCGGCGGCAGTTCTGGACTCTCCGGTACCGGCTGGAGCTGGAGAACCTTCACGACCCTCTTAGACTCACCTGGTTTGCTCTTCTTGCAGTGCGGGCAGACACCGTGCGAGTGGCCAGACGGCTTGTTGGAGGCCGCGCGCACCGTGTTGGTGTCCGGTACTAGCGTCGACTCCGATATGCTGGACGGTGAAGCGTCAGTTGAGGATAACCTGACGACGGTCTTTGACATCTTTCTCTTGGGCTTGGGACTTCGGGATACAAGAATAGGACCTTTCATGGCTTCCACATCTCCTGCTTTCACCTGGAAAGTCATCATGGTGGGCTGGTCGGAGGTCATTCCGGGCTCCGGATTGGTGATTTCCTCGGGTAGGCACGAGACGGGGATTTCAATCGTCGTTTTAGCAATCTTGTGGTGTTTGGATTTGTGAGACTTATGTTGGTCGTGATCACCCTGGGCTTCTGTGAGTTCCTGGCTGATTTTTTCGTCTGTGACGTCAGGTATCACGTCTGGCATTTGCTGTACGGAATCTGGGTCTGTATTCGTCCCCTTTTCTACATTTTCCGATTTTTTGGATTCCTTCTTTCCGGCCTCTTCAGTTTTCTCTTTGTCTTTGGTCTTCTTTTGACCTTCGAAACTGCTAATCCTATCTTTGACGTTCACCTTTTCACTGTCGTCATTCTCCGACACGAGAGGCGATGTTTTCGGTGAGACCGTGTCAACCTTAGCTTTATTCTTCAGCTTTTCTTCAAGCTCAGCTCTCCGTTTTTGCTCGTTTTTGATACGGATCTCCGAGTTCTTGCGGCGAAGCTCTTCGACTCGTTTGGCCTTAGCCACTGAGGCCTTTTCTTCCTCCTTGGCCTTAGATTCCTGTGCTTTAAACAGTCCGATCAGGGAAGATGCTTTGACTGCTTTCTCATCTTCCTGACTTCCTGTTGCCTCTTCTACTTTCTCTTCAGGTTTGGGTTTGTCTGATTCAACAACCATTGTGTCAGATTTATGGGACATGCTCGGCAGGTCTGGTTGAGAACTACTTTTCCGTGGACTTTCGCAGCCCAACGGGCTCATGCGATGATCAACAACCGGTTCGTGGTCGGCATCATCAAATCGCCCCTCCTCACTGTCACCTCGCGACCCAGTTTCCGCTTGATCGCTTGGGCAGTAGAAGGGGCTGAGACGTTTGTGGATGTCAACGGAGGGCATGTTGGAGGTCGTGGTGGAGTACTCAGAATCGTCTGAGAAGTATTCCGAGCTGTCACTCTCCTCATCCATGGTGGAACCCTCTCCTCGGCTTATGTACCTCCATGGGGTGCTACTGTAAGAAGCCATGGAGTTGCAACACAGACATTGGCTGCACTCGCTGTCTGAGTCAGGATAAGACTCGACAGATTCCTGGCGGCTGTTGGACCAGCTTCCGTTCCGCCTTGCCTGACTTCCATCGGTCGCCTCGTTGGCGATGGGGTCTCGCAACCCGGTCTTTGATTTCTTGCTTCGGCTGGAGGTAGACACCGATCTTTTCAGCTTGGGCTCGCTGTAGTCTTTCTCCAAGTCGCTCATCTTGTTGACATCGTCCTCAGTGTCTACAGCGTCCCTGATGTTGCCTGGTTTCTGCTCGTCATCAGACTCATACTCAGAGTCGGCTTCCTCACCGTCATCGTCATCCTTTATCTCCTGAATGTTACGATGCATGGATGCCAACTGACGGGACAGCGAGCTGCCAGAAGACGTTAGGTTCGCCTGAGGGTTGAAAAGGATACAAAAACAATCACTAATTAAGACTTACATGATAATTTATACCATTTGTTGGGGGTAAACCTGTAAAAGGCGCTTATTGAATAACAAACAAGGAGCTGCTATGGGCTCCGTTGAACGACGGGTTATACTCAGACTAGAGTGAAAAAAAAGGTCACTGAATTTCATGGGCAAGTATTTGCAGTGTCTGCAATAAATTTATGACGCTGCGTGTGCATGTGCATCTGCTGGTATTCAAAAACAATGACCAAAAAGCGAAAGAAGCAACTAGCTAGGCCTCTGTCAAGTGAAATTCCTCCTTTACAGCGGTTATGGTCAAGTTGCATCTCCAAACTGCGTTCCTTTCTGAACAATTTGTTACTGTTTATCTGTTTGCCTATTTTGATTTTTTTTTGCAGTTCCGCAATCATCGGTCGACACAGCGAGAGTAGTCGACCAAGTTTGTCTTCTTGCAAACTACGGAAAGACTTTCTGGGAAAATACCAATGTTTCTCATACTTTCTTATGCACAATAACAACATCTCTCGCTTAATACATATCGTTCAACCTTAAAAAGGTAGCTGCATTCAATTTATTTAATACAGAATTTCAAAATGCACCTTTGTGTCTCAGCTAACTTTATTTTCAACTATTGTTTCGCTATTTCGAAGATTTTTTTACTGCTTTTTTGTTTTATGCTAATGAACATTTCAATATTCAATATTCATATTTCAACGAGCAAAACTTTAGTGTCATCTCAGGAAGAAAGCCTCAATGGTACCATGGTACCTTGGTTTGTACACAAAAAGTCCTGCATTTTTGTAAATTTTGCTGGACTCAGTTCACTCTTCTTGCTGATTCACCAAGTTGTTGTTTTAAGTGCCTAGCAATAAGCAAGCATTAAGTGTTTCTTAAATTCCAGTAGGTAAATTCTGGGTTCACAAGTTGAACAGAAACATTTGTGCTCTGAACCACGCCTTCCCCAGATGACTTTACAGCAACAGCGCCCTCAGTTGTCCAGGAAAGCATGGGTTATTTTAATTGTTTTTGACTGCGTTTAACCAAATACGATTATAAAAGAGTTTCATATCTTGAAATAGAATATTAGACAATTTATTGCAGCTACACTTTAAACATCTCTGTGTCTTGTTTCAGAGATACGAAATCATGTTCATAAATTTATGTAAAATGCAAGCATTTATTTTAGGTGTCTACACGTCAGCACAAGAGAGTAGCTCCTTCAAAACTGTAAACGCGAACCGCCCGCTTGTTACTATACGGTGGCCCGTGGAGGCGAAAAGTCTGCATGGATTTTATCAACAGACGCTAGTCAACCTTCGTTGCTATTTTTATGAACTGTAAACGGACATCAACAATTTAAGCCATGGTACCGTTTAAGCGATGCTGCCATTAAAACTTAAACAAGACAAGCGCCGTCGACATTCGAAACGTTCCCCACAACTGTCGGCCAAAGTCGTGGACTTTAGACTCGATATAAATTGAGATCATCCACTACGTTATGCCCATCTTCAAACATTTCAATATATTGCATTAGTAAGAAGCAGAAGACGTCTTATGTTTTCGAGCAGTAAACGTGTCACATTGTTCAGGTTGATGGTGCCTTTTCAGATGATTTCAAACTTGTTGACCGGAATATTTCGCACCGCTGTCCCATCTCTTATAAAAAGGTTTCGAACAGTTTTTCCGTGGTTGGCTAGCATCAGGTCAAGTCGGTTTCCCCTCTGTCGTCGGCTGCGATCGTAAACTGTCAAGGTGACGACAGTTGATAGCCTTATTACGCCGGAGGCAAAGCCAAGACCTTGGAGAGACTCAGTTTAACAATCTCCTATATCAGGGAGTGATTTACGACCGGTCTCTGAGACCAAACCTCGAGAAACTCGGCGTGATCCCAGAGCAGACTGACAGATTACAGGAGATGTATACCCCAGAGGTCGGTGTTGGAGCATGAGTTGAACTGTGCCGCCCTGGGGTAATCGTCACGATATGTTTTTTTTACCATTATCGCACTTAAACTTTTGACTTTGAGAGTGTCGGTTTCCGTGATCATCAGCTTGACACGCAAGAATGCGGACAATAAAAGAAAGGTTTCAGTTTTAATACATGGAAAGTCAAAAGGACCTCTTGAGTAAAGAGTGTCGAGGCCCATGAAACTCTCGATCTCCTACACTCAAGGCTTCTATTAAGTGGTTTTGTCCAAAAGAACGGCATGAGTCTGTCGACGGAAGTGGCGAAACAAAACCCATTTTTGCGACAGAGAAACGGTTCCTCTGAGAAAAAGCTCTAGATGAACTCCGTGTAATTTATACGGTGACATCTATGCGCTGAGGACATTCATCACTCTTGAAAACCCCCAGAACTAATACTACGAGTGCTACTCCACGACCGAATTGGGGAAGAAAGGGATGTTGAGACGGGAGATAAGGCTTGGGGTTCTTTATCCTGCTCAAGTGAGTCCACCAAAGACAAAACGAAGATTCTGAAGCAGACCGGAGAGAAGAAAGTGGAGGAGACAAAAGAAAACATGAAAAATTTCCCACTTTGATTGGCGAATTAAGGGAAGGGGTCTCCCGTGTCTGCCCAAACTGACGCGCGTGGTGCAACAATTTTCCAATGAACCATCTCGCTTTGAACAATTTACCTGTTTTTGATAAATACTGGGGGCTTTTCGATGCGCTTAATTCATAATTGAGTCAATGTGTGCAGGAGATTGTTCCAAATATGCCGCTCCAACATATTGACACGAGCTTGCATACCGCGAATTCCGCACTGTTAATTACAAGCCAGTTTATACAGAACCATGCACGTGGACGGCGAAATTATAACTGATTAGTGAAAGGCAAATAATTAAAACAGTAACAGAAAAGACTAACTAACTAGACTAACACTCAAGACTGGTGTGAGCGAAGTGTTAATACATGGCGACCATGAATGCTGAAATTAACATTACGTTCCCTCTGAATAAAATACACGTATAGCCAGTCGTGATAGTTTTTTTGCCTGTATCATTGATAACGGCAACGGTTATAGTTACATTTGCAAACACTTTGCATGAAAGTTTTGAAATTTAGTAATGAGAATAGCATAAATCAAAACAAAGGAAGTGGAAATTTGAGAATGCAAACTTCATTTCCTTTCGAATTTTTCTGGAGTTATGTTACTAAACAAGCTGGTTACTCTTTGATACGTCCATGGCCACATTTTGGAAACTAATTCTTTCCCAATCTTTTTTAGTGTACTACTTGCAGAGTGAATTCTGATTTCGATTTATTACTCTTCTTGTAAATGCGGGTACATTTGCATTCTTTACTTTTCGGTGATGCCGATAAAGCTAAACCAAATGGCACAGACTGGCCTCATTAATTAAATAGACTTTAATGAGACAGAGGTTGACCGCACCTTCAAGACATTTAGTGCCCCACAGTGATCGTTCACACATGTTGCAGTCGACTTCTCCCTTGGTCTGATCTGCTGTGCAGGAGAATTGTGAAAAAAAATGCCCCATCCATAGCCCGTGAAAGTGAATCAGTGAGTTGAATATTTGTGGCCTGTGCAGAATGTGTCATCAGCGAAGCCTGCATTCTCGTCTCTCGATGATGTGGCATTTAAAGGTGGGCAAATGGGAAGTGGAAATTTCCGTACGGAAAATCATTTTTTGAATAAGGGCAAGGAAAATCAATAAAACAAAGTCTCAGCCTAAATGATTTGTAATTTTTGTCAAGTTCAATTTTTTTCTTGTATGTTTGGGTTTTTTCTTTTGTTTTTGGTTCATTTCAACTGGCGTGTGGTTATGAGAAGTTCATATCAGAGTAAATTTAGAGAGGTTCAAAAGAGACTTGAAAAATATCCAATAAAATGCTTTTTTTGCCAGATCTTTATAAACATAATAAGGCCTATAAGTCATTTTAAAAGCCGTATATAACACTGGTTTCTTTTAGTCAGTAAAGACTACTGTAAGATACTACATCAGGGACCATGCGATGATGCATGGCACGTCACTTGGTGATGGAAAAACCATTAGAGGTAACTCACTACAACACCCCACTTCACTTGGTTCACCACCAAACGTCATGCCATGTGCCTCCTGGCTAAATCCGGCGAAAATAATCTGGTTGTGTTTGAACCTACTTAACCCCCAACGTCAAAGGTACTTTCACATTGTATTGACCTTGTTAGTTAAAATATCGAATCGAAGTTAGCGATATGAACCAAGGAGCGGTGACACCCCCCCCCGAAGAACACATTGGACTTGCTCGTTCCGGGTCCCCTTGGTTATTTCTGGGTGGTATCATAAACGCTGCATCCCAGCATTCGAACAGTCTACCTAAATGACAAAGTTGACCCTCTGAAATAATATCTTCCTTTGCTTTTCTACCAAACTTAAATTTATTCTCGTACACACAAAATGAATCCACATGCACGTCACAGGGTAATTCCGAATCGGAGGATGAAAATTCACCCCAGATGGTTCGGTCTAATTTCCTAAAACAGCAGAACATATACATTACTGATTTCTATCATAATTTCTTGTGACAAAACTCATGCATGTCATTATTAACTCACCATTTGATCTCGAAGGATCTTCAGGTTGAGATCCATTTTACTGGCGTGGTATTTACGCTTATTGTAGTCTCTGGGAGAATCCTCCCCTCCTCCACTATCGGTGGCCATACTGCAGTCTGCAGCGGCGCCCGAGGTCGAAGAGGCTTCTCCGCCGGTATTAAGCGTCTGAGTCATGGCAGACTCGTCGCTGGCCGGGCCGGGTGAAACACCGATCGGGTCGATGTCGCTCTTGCATGCGCCAGTTCGCTGGCTCTGCACGCTCATCGTGAGGTTTGGGTTTCAACCCCACAAAAATAACGTCCGATTGGACTGCGAAGTTCTGATAACTGAGTCCTTCCCAAATTGCGTCTAATTTTCGCTGATTTGTAGACAGAGGGTTGACGAGTTCCGCCTGTATCCAAGCAACTTTGTCCAGACTTTCCAGCAATGTTTCCCCGCTACGTCGCGGGTGTGCGAATCACAGACTGAGCGGGTGGCACGTTTGGAGAACCAACTGTGGCGCACTGACGGGCCAAACGACACGAACGAGACTAGACTAGACAGTTCATAAATGGTCCCCCGAGCTGAATGCCAAAGTTTCAACGTTAAACCTTGGAAAAAGATAATTTACGCCGCGTCGGATACCAGCGGCAATAGATAGCCCAACATCCTGTGACTTGCTCAAGTCGGGCAAGCTGGTATTTTTTTCCAACCGGATGGAACGATTTCGACGCTTTCTGTTCAGTTTTCTCGCGACCCGTGACAAGAAAAAGAAGATGTTGCAAAAAAACTTAACTAATAAATTGAAGGGCCTTATCTTTCTCTGTAACTACTTTACTTCAATGTATCAATGTGCCTGGGGACTAGTTGCTGATTACAGTGTAAGGCGGTTGGGTAGCCCAACAGCACATGCACGCAAGTCTGTCACATCAGCAGAGTACGCAGATTCACGCGTGCTTTAATAAATCTTTTGTTCCGATACCCAAACACCGAACTGGCTCACTTCGATTGTTTGTGTGCATGGGACTTTCACAAGTCTAAGGCTGCAGTAGGACTCAGGCCAAAAATACGCAAGCCGGATGCCGGGCATATTCCAAGTTGTTTGGGTTGCATTCCTCATAGTCATCTTTCTCGGCCGGCCAGCAGGCCGACAGACAGCCGATGGGTGGGATGTATGTAATTGCACAATACAGGGGGCGAACTTACGCCGAACCAATCATGACCGTCAAAAATGATGTCATAAGCGCTTTCATCGAGAATAATTATGCTAATGCACATATGGCCAGAATGTTCTGTCATAATCTCCACACATAAGTACAGTACATGTACAGGTGTACGAGATCATAGCACATGCGCGTGGGGTATCCTGTGGGGAAAAAATCAGGTCTTCTACAACATAATATTCCATGAATGGATTTTAATTGAGCATGATCATCAGTTGAGGTCTTTTCCTTCCTCCTTGATTGAGGTGAGGACGGTGGTGTAGTTTTTGACATTCGTTAAGAACAACCATTTGTATGGAAAACGTTGCATTACCATGAAGAAGAATTTGAGGCTGGAAACAAGAGTGGAGAAGGCGGGGGTCATGATAGGCTATGAGACAATAATAATTGCATGCATATTACCGTTTTGCTCATCATGTTAGTGACATCATTCCACGCCGACAAAGGCATTGGGGTGGGGGCCCCTTTGCCCGGCCTTCATTCATTCCGGGGGCGCTATTTATAATGAAGTTCTTGCGTGCTTACAAATAGGGCCTGAAAGTTGACCCCTGACAGTGCTTCCACGGTCAAAATGAAAAAAAAAAAAACTGTTATGTTTGTTTGCTAGAAGATAAGCAGAGGTTAGTACAATGCTCAAACTCACGGTCTTAAACAAAAACCACAGGCTGTGTGCATCATGGGTGGTGATATTGATCTGAATCAAAGATTATACTATCTGATCGGAATGACGGGACAAACTTGTGCGCACGCGCAGAACGTTTTATTCTACTAGTCTTGTTTCCAGTCATCCTAAATCAATCTGACAGAATATAATTGCAGAGTTTGAAATGTAGAGTTTGCTGCTAAGTTTGAGAATATTTGTAGAATTTGCTCAGAATTTCATAACTTCCTTGGAATTTCTTTAGATTCGGGGGATTTCCTCAAAATGTCCTTGGATTTTTCATTTCCTTAAATTTCCTTCGAAATTAAATATTTCCTTAAAATAAGGAAAGGAAATTTCCTTGAAAGTGGAAGCACTGACCCCTGATGGCGCGCTTCCAGAAAAATAACGTGCAAAGATTTTAGAATTTGTAATTTTTTCCGTTCAGTTACTTCTTAAAAAATCCAAATCGGAAAAGAGGCTTTGGATGGAAGATATTTGCCAGTATATCAATAATTATAGAAACTGAAAAATCACCTGACCTAAAAGAGAAATATCCTGCCAAAAATAATATTGACCCACCCATTCCGAAAATTTTAAATACATGAAGAGCAGTGCAATGCAGCAGTCTCGTACACAAATGAATATTTACAGTTTGAAATTTTATGCTAGTCCGTCGTGAAAATCGAAATAAAAACAGACGAAAATATTTTAAATACCATTGTAATTTATGAGTAGTAAACTTAGAGCAATATTCTACTTCAATTACGAAAGACTCTAATTTTTTATTTGACGTTTGTTGACAACAACAGCGCGATGTCAACTAGGTAAATCTTAGCAACGTTGTACAATCTCGTTTTCACGTAATAACGGGCACAGTGAAAACAAATGTACATGGAGACCTAGGTACGATATCGCCGGAAGTGAAAGGTCAGATGGCCAAGGACACCTGGTGCACTTATCATTTTTGTTTTTTTAACAATAAAGTCTCATGGTCCAGCAATAGCTAGAACACGGCTTGTAAATCTTGAAACTTCATGTGCATGTATTTATACCAGCAAGGGGCAAAAACACGAATACAAATCTCACTTGAAAACCCATACTTTCAAAATCACCTTATTCAACTATAATGATTAATCTTTATTGCAGTTGTTAATGAAGTTACATGTATCATATTTACAAGTATTCAGTGTTTACAAGATTTTTACAGACCAACTGAAAATTACATTATTGAATCCAAAATATAGAGAAATATTTGGCTCTTTTTAAAACAATGATGAAAGCTTTCAAACTTCTTCCAAGTTTGAAACTTGCCAGTGTACCCTCTTTTAAAACAACAGCCCCACCAACATATATTGCAGCACTAAAACATGGTCTGTCATTTCGTTTTCTTTTACATTAAATAAAACATCTGCAGCCCTAATTTCCCTATAATGCGATGAATAAAGAAAACAAAAAGGAAACAGAAAAGTGTCTATCAGCGACAGTGACAGTACTGTTAAATTTGTGGCTTACAGACTATGTTCACTCAACTGCATTTGACTTCTAACATACTCAAATATATCGGTAAGCAATTCAGATTCCATCAACATCTCTTTGAGAAGTATAACTTCTATTATTTTGAAAACTCATCTCAACTGATTGCTTACATTTTCCTAGATTGCCGGTTGGTAAACCAAACAACAGATGTATACATGTATTTCACTAACTGCCTGGCAGTTCAGGAAATGTATGTTGTTTGGGCTTTAGGAAAAATCACATCTGAAGGTTTCTTATTTTTCTAACTCATTTTGATTTCAAATTAAAATCTAACATGCACGTAAAATTCCTGAATGACCAGAAGAAATGAAAGCTCTGGCACCATAGAGTCAGGCCATACAATACTTTTGCTAGCCACAAGGGGTTCTTTTATCTTGCTCAATGCTTTTAATCTGTTTTCACTAGAAATAATTTATAGTAAATTCACTGTAGTTGTTAAGTTAAAGTTTAAAGAAATATAGATCTCTCCCTCATCTGAGTAATAGGAAAACAGAATCAGATTAAAAATATTCCATCAACAATATTGTGATATGCATGCAATAATTGGAAAACAGTATATAAACACAAATCAGACTGAAATTATTCTATGAATAATACTCTTGAGATGCATCCATTTGTACCAATAAATGCACATAATGAAGAGATCACCTAAGTTTCCTTTCAAAAAAAATATGGTAAGTAGAGCTACTTTGCAATCTGTAGCGCTGAATAAATAATGAAGCAAAGAAAGTCTACCTGTGTCTGGTTACAATTACTGGTTGCATATTGCAACGAACAAGCCACTGGTAAATCCCATTGCCTGTTGTTTTGCCTCTCCTTGTGCTGTTGGAAAAAAAAATATGCCTATGCCCAGACAGTCACACACGCCCATTGTCATGTGTGTTAGATGTCATTTGACATTCATTTAATTTGGAACAAAAACTGAGAATTACTTCATTAAGTGAATGCATGGTTTGAACTTCTGTTACACAGATGTATTGCACCCAAAGCACCTCACACATACATGTACTTGCAGACATCTGACAAGTTTTACCTATGAACAATCTGTGTATGTTGTGATGGTATTGCCAACCCGCTGGGTGACTGTCCTGCAAGTCCGTCCACCAGATGAGGCTGAAAACAAAAAAAAAATTCAGAATGGCCACTGAAAATCAGCGTTCTAGAAGAGACCATCACATGACCAGACACAAAATCAGGCACAAGACAAGTCACAGGTAATAGGGTGAACAATGACACAGGAATGCGTTAGTTGCAGTTTTTAATAGCTTGTGACTTGAATTCAGACTGGAAGTCTTGTGTTGGTCTTGTGCTGGTCTCGTGTAGTCTTGTGAAGGTCTTACATGTAAGTGGTCTCGATTACAACACCGCTGAGCATGCCCACTAATCTAAGTGCCTTTGCTGGCAGCTAAATTGACACTTACTCGTATACATGCATGATACATGTACCTGTGATCAACTGAGGGTGCTTTGTAACCTACATGTTAATGATGATGATGATGCCCTTTGGGTCTGACACACATTATGTGTAAACCTAATATACGTGTACATGTACGGGTACATGTACCATAACAATCAAAAGAGGTCCACATAATACAGGCTGTGTGAACCCTTTGAGGAATAAACCAGGTTCACACAAGGTTTCTTTCTTTATGGACAACAGTTGTGATGGCAGTTTTGGGTTATGGTTATCAGTAGCTAAAGGAGGAGAAACCATCAATAAAGCTCCAGCTTAAAAGAGTGTTCAGTTTTCTAAAAATGGGTATTTTCACTAATTTTTCTTAACTATACACAACTTAGGTAACAAGAAGAAGCCTGCCTGTGTATAAGTACACACAAAGTACACAGCAGCAATTTTCACCGAATCATTTGCAACCCACAGGGTCTTTTATGAATCAGGAGGCGAGTTGGAAATGGCTTGCAAGTACATGTATTTAGGCCACTCTATTACTAATGAAAGTTTTTCCTTGTGGAGAATACTGCAACTAACAGCAACCATTAATTCTTTCCACTGAACACTGCTCGGTGTTTCAACATGACTTGATAACCATTTCAAACCCTGTATCACAATGACGACTGCTCTAATGATCTTACCATGTCTGTGTGTTGTTGTGGTGAAATGATGAGAAGTCCGCACAGTAGACGGAAACTCGGCGAATGCCACATCCTCAAACAGGTCGCCAAAGAAGGAATCATGGGACCCTCTGTGGTTCTGCACACACAAGCAAGGACAGAAGAAAATAAGAAAGAGAGGCAAATTCATGCACAAGGGGACACTGGTCAAGCTTTCATCAGCTCCATTAATGATTCTCCTTCTTGTTACTGAATTAGGAATACAGTTTACAATGTACATGTACAAGAGCGATTTCTGAGAAACCTTATATTTTGAATTCCAATACTCTTGCCTTTTCCCACTGATTTTCTAACAAAGTCCCGGTTATAAAAAAGTCATTTGTCTGGTCCCTTTAGCTTTGTTATGAAGTCAATACCAAGGTGATAATTTTCCACTTTTGCGGGAATTGGCCAGGGCCAAATAGATGACAGGTTAATGCTTGACCTTGATGCTATGTACATGTACAATGTACAGTTGTACATGTACATGTATTTTGTCCAGAGAGAATGAACAACAATATGGAGGTTTATGTAAATAGTATCTGGAATGCCCCTGACTGTTACTATCCTGAATAAAAATGCATCAAAATGCATGGGTTACTACATTGTTTGGGGTATCAGAAGTCACTAGTTTGAGAAACAAGAACAAAAATCTACGCAGCACATACATGTATTTTAGTTTTAAAAGGAGTATCAACTCCTATGACAAGTGAATAGGCTATGCTTGATTTAGTCTGCAAAACCTCCAGGTAGCTTTTTCTGAGGGTTAAGAGAGGGTTAAGGCGCTAGTTTGGAGAAGTTAAAGCATATTCCTAAAAGCTGACTTACTCCTGCTCTGTTGTTTTTTGAAGGCCTAAAACTGCCAAAGCCAAACAAATCCTCATCAAAATCCTCCCAGAAATCGTCTGCAAAGAAGTTGAAGCCACTGGCCCTCTTTCCCGAATTACGGTGATCTCCTGTCGATCTCCTATTCCTGAAGGTGTTGAAACTGCTGTCAAAATCTTTGAAGAACGATCTGTAATTGAAGCTCCCTCCTTGAGATCCCGGGCTGGGTCCTCCACCACCTCGATTACTGTAACTCTCGAACTGTTCTCTTCCCAGCTGGTCATACAGTTTCCGCTTTTCTGGATCTGAGAGCACCTCATAAGCTGGTATTCAAAGATAAAGACACAAGGCATGTACATGTAAATTGATGTCAAGAAGTAAAATTGTCTGCAAGTCTGTAACAAGTCCTTACAGGTCCATCATTATAAGGACATCACGAGTCATGATCATCCAGCCTCAGGCAAAGTCACAAGCCATTCAAATGCACTGTGACAGAAGCATTCCCCACAAAAACTAAAAACTCTGGGGAAAATGTGTCTCCTTGAAGTGTGTCCTTCAATTCTCCATGTTAGCAATTTCCATGTATAACACCACAAGTGTACCTGAAGTACATGTACATGTACTGTTTGTAAATGTACATGTATCCCCGCTTGTTGATTTGTTTGATTAAATTACAATAAATCACCTTCTCCTTCACCACCTTTTTTCCGTGTGACATTCGAGCTTACAAACATTTCCAGGTTTTTCAGGCATCTGCCAACTTAAAGATCTCAACCATGATCTCTAATTTTATGAGTCATTTAAATAATTGATAATGCATGCAGCAGAAACAAATGGTGCCTTAGAGATGTTCCCTAAATGAGAAACTGATTATAAACTAAATGCCAGAATGTCAAGTATTTTTAATAAAAAAACAGCTTTGATAAAACAGTCATAATCGAATGCACAGACAGTACGTGTAAGTGCATGGCACGTATGTACCATACATAAAAGTTGGGAGCTGTGCTGAGTCTTAACAGTGTTAAAACACCATACCCTGAAAGTTCAGCAGCATTCCGTTGGAGTAACAACACAAGAGCGAACAAATTTCAAATTTGGGAAATAATACTCGTAGTTCTGGCAAAGCCTAGTGAAACAGAACATCTACAGTGTACGTGCATATATCCTGAATACATGTACATTTTGCAACACATCTGAAAATCCGTAACAATCAGGACAATTCTGGCCCCTGAATTATCTGACCCATTGATACAGATATAGTAGCCACATTTAACACATTTGACCTTCAATGTGAAATTGATTTCTAAGCCTCTCAAAATACAACTGTACAGAAATTTTAATGCTAATACAAACAGTTACTGGTACATGTATGATTGTAATCTCATTACATGTTCATGTAGATTGAATTTACAAAAGGCAAGTTTTGAAATCTATTTCAGCATTGTTCTTTAGCTTATTTTAATTCTGATATTTTTAAAGGTTTGTCTTTTAAGCTCAGTATTTACAGTTTATGTCATACATGTCTCAATATGATCTTTAATCCTGCCGATCCAAAGCAAGGTTTCAAGCATATTGAAGTATCAAGGAATGAAGTACATGTATGCAGCCAGTGTATACATGTAAAATCATCAAGGACACGAAGGCTAAGGAAACAATTGTACTGTAGGCAACACAAAATGTCAATTTCTACTTCAACTGCCAGTTTACGGTGCTGAGATGCATGCACATACATTTACATGTACAAATGTAACAGGCACATGAATCTACATGTACATGTACTTGTAATGTGTCTACATACATATGCAACAGGCACATGAGTCTACCTGTAATGCATCTACATGTACATGTACCTTTGGCAATTTCCACAAATTTGTCCTCAGCATCAGGGTCCTTGTTCTTGTCGGGATGATATTTCACGGCCAGCTTCCGGAAAGCTTTCTTAATCCCTCTGTCTGTCTCTGTACGCTTCACCCCAAGGAGCTTGTAGTAGTCTTCCCCCTTGCCCTCGACCAGCAACAGTAGAATGCTCAATGTTGTGGCCCCAAAGGCCAAGATGATTTGGTACTGCATTTGATCACCTAGTGAAACACACCTGCAACATGCAGAAATGAATGCCCTCAAGATGAATTAATAAAGAGGGTTAAAGCTGATAATTCTAGAATGTGAGTTTCACTTCGAAATATGTTTTGTGTATCTGTCTGTAAGCCTTATTGATAATACCACACAGGGTTAATTTTGCACAATGGTAGGAAACCATCTTGGGAAGGAAAAGAGGGCAAACTTTGCCCCTTTTTCTTTCTTGGCCCCTTTTCCCTTCCCATAGTGCCTTCCTACTGTTGTGCCAAATCATTCATGCAGTATTAGCGATAAGACTTATCTGATATATCTCTTTTACAGTAGCTGTTGCTGTAATGCCATTAAACATGGGGAGACACTGTTAATATGGTGGGGGGAATCTTCTTCAAACTGTGCTCACTGAAAATTTTTGTAACAAAACTGTGTTCACTAGCCTACTGTTGGGAGTGCTACCAACGACTGTTTCGGGGTGGAAAATGTAGGCCCTTACTCGCTGCTTGTGCGTTGTACGGATAGTTGCAATTTTTGGAGGGCATTAACTGCGCACTGCATTTGTCCAGACAGTTAACCACATATCCTGAGATCAATGTAAAGATGACTGACGTCTTAAAAATGTCTGCAACTGTCTGTTCAACACGCATGCAGCAAGTATGGGCCTGCATTTTCCACCACGAAACAGTCATTGGTAGCTCTCCCTACTGTCAAAATCAACAAGTCTTGTGCCCAGACCACGTATAGGCCACTCATACATGTTTCTGGGAGGACCATGTTTCGCCCATAGTGTTAATGCGGATTCAAATCTTGGTCTGCGCATTTGAAAGGAACAGGTGGCGAAAAGTTTGTGTCACGTGTGTGTCCATCGAACACGGTCGGATTTTGAAGTCAGAAATATCATTGAAGCCCCAACCGTTAGACGTTGGCATTTATGGAAGCCAGTAGGTGGTGATATAGGTATTTTGGTGAGTCTTGGGAATTTTTGAAAACTGTTTTCACCTTACTATATCATGTACAGGCGTAGAGCATTAGTATGACAATCCTGTCCAAAATCAAAAAAGAGGAATTTGCTAATGCTCCACTCAGTAGAGCTAGGTAAAACCCATTGAATCAGGTACAATGTTGAACTGAAAACCCAATCCACCTGTGGACCATGCAGAAAATCGGAACCCCAGCTACAGAGGTGGCAGGCGAGGATCAGAAAGAACCACTACACTAACCTGACTACATGTAACCCATGACCTACATGTAGACATGTAAATTTGCAAATGTTTACTTTAAGTTTTAGCTGTCATGAACATCAGAATGATTAACGTGCGTGACCGTATAGTCGCCAGTTGCCACCTGTCGTCAAGTCTGATTGGTATGACATGCATTGGGAGTCTGGGACTATACCCGGCCATAATAATTAATATAGCCTTATTCTATAGGGCCTGATCATGCTGATGTTATACTAGCCCTACTAGTGTGGCACGGACCCTCACTACTGCTCCATCCTTAGCCACACATCCAGTTGCCACCTGTTGTCAAGTCTGATTGGTATGACATGCATTGGGAGTCTGGGACTATACCCGGCCATAATTAATATAGCCTTATACTATAAGGCCTGATCATGATGATGTTATACTAGCCCTACTAGTGTGGCACGGACCCTCACTACAACTCCATCCTTAGCCACACATCCTATACACAATTTTCAGTCAGCGTGGTGAAATCTTCGGCACGCCCTCTTATAATCATAGGCGCAAATTTTTTTTGCATACCCGGAGAATAGTTATTGCTTGACCTTTGCCCTGCCACAATCCATTGCGCTGAGTCACTTGGGGTTGCACTACACCAAATACACGCCCATGGAAAACAGTGCAAAATCGGACCAAAATAGCGCCGCCTATTGACTCTCGTGAAGAGGTTGGCCTCCATTCTTTCACTGGAAATTCAAGATTATGGCCAGAAGATCACTTTTTGTTTAGCCACAAAATTTTCTTTTTAATTCGCCTTTGAACGAATATTACCCCAAAATAGCAGTAAAACTAAGCGTTTATTTCTGAATGTAGCCTCCTGCCTCTATCCAAAATAGGTCCGCAATTTGGGGCTTTTTGTGAAAGAAATGCCCCGAACTGGCAACTACATGTATCAGTCCCAAATTCAGGATTTATAGAAATATTTCTATGACGCCTCCTGATTATGGCCTGTCTTATTGTAAAAAGCCTGTGGGATCACAAAATATTAATGAGATGGCGCACAGAAATACAACGATTTGGTGGAATGCACCCTTGGCGTATCATATATACACATTATTGTAGCAGTCAAGACTGGTGCCCTGTAATTTATTAAGCAGCAAACAAATAAATAATACAAGTTACCAGACGGACGTAAACCCACTGTAACAAGGTACCAGCTATGGAAGATAGTTACGTCATTGCAGCCCAATCAGTGTATTTAGAAATGACATCATGCCATGATTTTTTTCCCGAGCAAGCAGAGAGCACGCAGACAGCTCAACAAACCATAGGCAAACATATCTGGGTTGGATTACTAGGCGAGCATTCACACATCCAAAGGCAACCCGGAGAATCGTCTCAAGGCCGCCGTTAAGACCGAGCTTGGTGGGTTAACCCACCTCCGGAGCGGGGTTAGAAATTACCCGGGTCAAGTGGGGTTTTGAGGCAGTTAACCTGGAGAATTTCTAATCCCGAGAAGTGTTGTGTGTGAACGCTCCAAGATGCTGGGTAATCTCGGAGTTAATTTTTTCGTTAACCCCGAGATTACCCGGGTAAGAGCACTGTGAAACCGGTAATACAGGTACATGAAGCCTACGCTATCCGATATCGCATCGAGGGCCATAGCCTATACCATGGCATGGGTCTACTCTAAGGCTAAGCCCTTCGTTAGTACTATACTTAGCCTAGGCCCCGTGAATACTCACAGCTGAACTCGTATAAAAATATTGTTTTGTTGCACTCCTTTCTCATCTGCTCATCATACTCGTCTTCTGACAACACAAAAAATCATTTGTTTCGGTCATCTGTCACGTCTGTCATTTAAGCAAGCCAGCAGTACCGGTATTCGGTAGCTCTTCTTCGGTTTTTCTCAATTGAAGTGACGTGACCGAAGAAATCGATATCTGTTGACACATGTCGAAGTAGGCAAACAAGTATGGTGCCCTGATCGTGACAGTCTTGATTTCGTATCTACTAGCTATTGTAAGTGACTGCATTGAAGAGGATACAACACCATATCCACGGAGCGATTTTATCGTCTGCTACACGGGGTTTAGCGTTATTGGTCAGTCTTGATCACGTGACTTAAAATACCGTCACAAATTTTAATCGCGCGAGAAATCACGCAATGTAAACCTGTAAATACGGAGCTCTAAAAGTGCCATCCAACTTGTCGAGATCTTGACATATTTTTTCTTGGGATGACGACATAATAAAGACAAGACGTTGATATCCTGAGATTATTTATCATGGGATGACGACATCCTTAGATAATTCATTCCGTGACGACGACATCCAGCAAGTGTGATGTCTACCCTTTTACAATGTCGTTTTTCCATGATAAACTATTTCAGGATGTCGTCATCCAATTGTTTATACGATGTCGTCTTTCTATGATAAATTATCCCAGGATGTCGCCATCCAACTTTTACGGTGTTGTCATCTCGCAATAAATTACCTCAAGTTGTGAACATCTTGCATGTATCGTGCATGTCGTTATCCCGAGAAACAATGTCAGGATGTCAACATGTCAGATGGCACTTTCAGAGCTCCGTATGTAAACACCAGACATGGCCGACGACATGGACGAAGATGAGGAGCAGTTGTTACCGGTACATGAACTCGAAGAAGAGTTGAGCGAGGAGGAAAGTGGGAATAGCATGGGAGATCAAGAAGAGGCCGATTCTCCGGAAGAAGAAGGTTTTCAGGATCGTCATTCAGTTCTGTGTTAAGCGTAGTTTTTCCACACGTTCCGAATGTCCATCAGAGAGGCCTACATCATGTACATGTATCATGCCTATCCTGCCTATAATACCATAGCTATATAGCTTAGACATCACTCGGGCCTAATCAAGTTATTAATGACATAGGTTTACGCAAGTACAAGTCTCAACATTTAAAGGTGACCTTTCTTGAATATTTTGTAGATGCAGATACATGGACCGGTATCATCTGTGAAGTTCAAAGATAAAAGTGGTTTTTAATTAATCTTAACACTCCTCAGTCCTCCAACAGGTGAAGGATTGAGGAGTGTTAGGGTTAAACCACTCATTGTTGTTTTGTTTTGCTACAAAATATGCAGAAATGTGTGTTTGCTTTGGAAGGGACCGGTACAATGTACCTGTAGAAGACTACATGTACACCCTTATAGTAACTAATCTTGATTAAGGAAAAAAAATAATCTGATATAAAGTGATAAAAAAATTGCCAACCCTGAATTAAATCTTATAACATTATTTTGGTTAGTATACATTGTTGATAATTTATTCTGGTTTATTGTCAGTGTAAAATCTAAAAGTATAAATATGTTTGATGTGTGTGTGTACATGTACATTTATATGTGCAGCATTTAAATGAGTAATTTTGTTGTCTTTTTCTGTGTCAATTTGATGACCATTTCACAGAAGAGGAGGATCATCTTCATGTAGGTTTTTTGCGTCGTCTTCACCTGCGTATCAGAAGCAGACGGGACCATGATCGAGTAGAGAAACGCCCTACCAAGATAACCTATGACCCCTCACTTCCAACTGCCCACTCTGTAAGTTTAGGCTGTAAGGGTTAAGTTGGACAGCTGTTTGATGTTTTGTTGCACTTCCCACCACCCCCATCCCCACCCCCATCTCCATCCCCATCCCTATCCCCCTTGTTGGTACTGTAGTTAATTATTTAATTTTCTTTGCTTCCTGGACTATTTAGCTAGTTGTTTTTTCTGAAAGCACCAGAGATACAATATACCGTATAGTGTGAGAATACCTTTAGTATACTTATTAAGTATGATCAAATGTAACGTGTGTTAGATAATAGCAACATTACGCTAAGTTCTCAATTTCTAATCCACATACCGTTGGTTTAGCCAGAATAGTAGAATAAATTGAACAAGCCCTGAAAGGGCCAATTTTTGCCATTTTTACGGTAGTTTTGGCATCAAACGTTAAAACTGGTCACTAAAGAAAGTTAAAGAAAGTTTGTATTTTTGTGTGGGATTGGCGCAGTTTAGGGACTGTTGTCATCCTGCTGAGCATTATGAAAATTCCAGCTGAGAACCACTCAAAAGTGCAGTACATGTAAATTACTTGCATCATTGGAATTTAATGGTCTTCTTTGCCAATAGTAGTGGTAGTAAAAAAATGGGAAGAACTACAACATTGTGTTTGTACTGGATAATTACACGTAGAATTTTGCCCGTGGCCCATACACATTTAGATTTTTGAGCTGAAAGTTTGCAGTGGCTGAATTAAATACATGTACCTAATTACAGCAGATGTAACATGTACCGGTATGTAGGGGAGTATTACATACACAGTACTGTTAGATCTAACGTTTAGTACATGAACATGTACAGTGTAACACCACAGTACTGTAATGTACATGTAATGCCACATCACTGAAATGCATGCATGTGTACATTGTGTACTTCATTCTGATCTCTCTCATTCTTCCTACATGTACATGCAGTACCTTGGCTCTGACCTGGAGGAATACAGTGGTCGGACAGTCCTTGATGAAGACACTTTCATCTCGCTGCCCCTCCTGCACCTTCCAGGGGTCATCTTGTTGCCTGGCCAAACACTGCCCCTCCATCTCTTCAATCAGAGGATCATCTCCATGATGAAACACGTCATACAGAACAACAGGACATTTGGAATGGTACATGATACTCAAAGGTACACTGTACCCATCTACTGGTGTAATATGCACATTAGCAGTTACATGTACATGTATCAAACTGGCCTAATCCTAACCCTAACCCTGAGAGACCCAACATACTGCAGCAGGTGTATGCACGCTTTGCTTCACTGGGCAGTCAACAGCTGCCTAACACACTACACATAGCTGTATTGAGATAATGAGAGCTGCTCCCATTGAACAATATCAACATTGGATCTTGTGCTGTTTGGCCTTGGGGGAGAGTTGACCTGTTATACCTGTATCTAAATACATTATGGAGGCAAGCCAAAGTTTAGACAGACTGAGTCATCTGGCAGGGTTTCTAAATAGCCAAAATACCCCAGAAGGCCAAGGCTGATCGAATAGTTAGGATGTTTAAGGCACTGTCATGACTGTAGAGTTATGAAACACTTTCTACAAGACCCCTTTTCTTTCTGTCTTGATGGTTAGTCATGACATGAGGACTGGTGTGGAGGGGAGCATGTCAGCCATTGGAACAACGGCTGAAATCTTCAGTGCCAAGGAAGAGGAAGACAGCGGCGTGGAGACGATGAGGGTGAAGGCAATGGGAAGACAGAGGTTCCAAGTCATGGATACAAGGCGGCAAACCGATGGGTGCGATGTACATGTAGCATTTTTGTCATCTTTCTGCAATTGTTCACACATATGACGTTTACCTGTGAGGACGACCCTGATATACATGTACTCTTATAAATTATTTAGATATTTAAGCTTATGCTTAGGTACGTAGTGAGATTTGCATATTGCGTCTTTAATAAGTCAAGGAAACATCTTCTACCCAACAGCCATGGCAAATATATCACCACAGGTTCTCAAGGTCTTATCTGATCCAAGCCGTCAGGAACTTGCTGAATGCTTTCTTAGGTTTATGTGTGTTTGGTTGGAATGAAATGAGCATTTGGGCCCAAGTCGCATGGTCTCTGTGTGCCCTGGGCATCCAAAGGAAGTGATTCCCACCAGCCTATCTCTTCTGTGCTGGTCAGGTGTTGCTTCAAACCAGGACCAATATCATCATCGGCAATAAGTAGGGTTTGGAGTAAAGATTAGTCAGTGAACAAAACTCTTTGTGAACTTATTACGGCTGTTAAAAGGTTCAGCTACCGTGATTTTATTGCAAGTGAACTATGGGTAATCAAACACCATGGTTTTGTTTCTACATCATCCTGTCAGAACTTCAACCACTTTGCTCAGGAAGACCTGTACCCATGATCTGGCTATCCAAATGCACAGCACAATGAATCAGCTGAAATGTGAAGTGCTTGTGTTGACTCACCTCCATCTGAGGTTATCCCACTTAGAAAGCATAAGAAGGCTGTGGAGGTGGAGCGCGTTTTGATCTTCAACTTTGCAGCAGTGCATGGCCTGATGGGGTACATGTAACAAACATCGCTCCATGGGTGTGGATTGTGAGTGTTGAAAATGTGAGGTTGTGGTAGGGATGTGGTACAGCTGCTGATGAAATGACTTTTGCAAATCAGTATTTGTGGCATTTGGCTGTACACCTATCGAAAGTTATCCATTATTTCAAAGGTAAATATTTTTGCCTAAATGTAAAACTGTTGGTAACGGTAAGTTAAAGTAGTTGAATGTAGTTAAGCATCTTCATCTCAATGTCATTTGCACATCTTCATTTCCGATAGGATCGTCGTCGGCACTGTCCGCATCATCACCGAGCCTGAGTTGCCCGGAGCCCTAGAGGGTGCCCAGCTGTCCTCCCGGAACCGACTGAGGCCTATACCCCTGCAGCTGCAGCAGCCCAGTGGCCCAGAGAGGATGCAGCTTGGCTGCGGGAGAGGAGGAAGAGGCATCTGGGCGCAGCTAACTGGACCTGGCTGCCTCCCTGGGTCTATGAGATGTATGATGCGGTCAGTACCAATTCATGTCGTTAACCTTAGTCGGCTGCCTGGACTAGTTTTTGTTGTGTTTCCTGGCTTTATGCAATGCTACTATTCTGTGTGACTTATCCATTGATAAAGGACATTCACATACATGTACACAGAACCTCAGTCAAGAAGAGAGCCCGGGAAATTTGCTCTACTTGCCCTGAAAATCTTGGGAAGCTTAATCTGCCCAGAGGCTGCTGAGTCCAAACTGAAAGTTTCACACACATGGCACTGCATGTGTATCAGGCGTATACAGTACGGGTCAGAATTTTAGCCGACACGCTAACACCATCAGTGAACCTGACACGCTGTTCAATGCACACTTTGCAGTTTTTACCGTGCATTGCTGGTCCAATGCACGATAAGCCTGACCCCAGACCTCATTTTCTCGGCACGGCTTTTGACCACAGACTGCAAAGGTGACTGACAATGTGTCACGCAGAGCCGTTGCTCCAGCTTCGTGTATGCATGTACACTGTACGTACATGTACAGTACATGTTCATTGTACATGTACACGTACACTGTATGGCCAGCAGTGCACTGAATAAGTGAAATTACGTACATGTAGCGCCTGGCAGGCAAGATGACTGTCTTGAGGTATCGAAATGTGTTTCATTATCACAGACATTTTCTTTTAGTTTTGGATCGCGAAAGTTGTTCAGTCGGATTACATCTGGAAAATGTCAAATTTCAGTTAAACTGGCCAGTAGTCCACTGTGTGTGTTTAGCTACTACAAAACTTTCTCCCAAACGTAAACTTAAAATTTTAAACTCACGGGATCAATTGGAGTGACGACAATACTTTTCCTGCTGGTTCTAATGCTAGATCGGTTGTAAACAATTCCCGATTGCCTGAGAAACTTTTTTTGCAGATAAACAATAAACACAAAAGAAATCCATTCCTCAGCCAGAACTATTATAACAAGCTGATTTTACAATGAAGTATTTTTATTTTATGGAAATTTAGTTCATGTCTCACGATTCCAGTAAATTTAAAAAAATACCCACTGAACTTGCGTAAATTTTAACTTGACTTTTTCATTTGCTGCAACATGTGCCGCGACCATGCCGCGACCAAGCAATCACGGAACTACAACCACCCCAGAACTTTCATCACAACCACCAATCATAAATCAAAACAATTTTATTGCATGTTTATTTTAATACAGCACCACCAACTGCAAAGCTACAGCCCTTTCACATCACCCGACATGCACATTTATGAAGTTCACGTGGGTGCTACTCTGTCAGTTGTGTGCAGCCGGTGCATGCACGTCGCTAGTGCAGACCCGACTTCCTTTCATTTCGGTGTGATCTTTGCCGTTTAGTTTGGTCCTAATATTGTCACAATCAGCGTGATTTTTTAGGTGGGTTTTCCAGTGCAAAGGTTGAAAACTGATGGGAAAAATTCCATCCCACATCAAATTTATATTCTCGTGATTTTGAACAGACTGAGCCCAAGTACGGCTACAATCTATGTGTATGCTAGAATCGTCACCGTGGGGGCTGTCTTGATTAAAATTTGGCTAGCGGACCGGCAAGGTCAAACCCCGTTTATATTTTGTAGATTTCTTACAAAATAGTTTTCTGTAATTTAGGAAATGTTTTGTCATAAAAACTGCTAGATACAATTGTCTTGGTTGAAAAATTGGCCAAACAAAATGCTTTATCTTCGAAAATGATTTTGTGATGCCTGCTGCATACAAGTTAAACTACTGGCAACATTTCCATGGAATTTGAAGATAACTTGAGTTGCAGTCAAACTGAATACTTTCCGTCGTGAGAAACTAGGAAAATGACTGCTCCAGTCAACAAAGGCCTGGCAGTTCTGGGGTGTGCGTGTAGCGTGTGTATGTTTATACTTGGCAGATCAGATTGCGGTGTTGGTGTTCTCTGGTATGCAGGTGTTTTGTGTTTGCGGTTAACTCCTTTCGTGTCTTTTTGACTCGATACAGGCTGACACGCTAAGCATATTTGCATGTCGGCTAAAATTCTGATCTGTACTGCATATATAAGAACACCCCTGTGCATTGTAATGTTCATGTTTGCATGCTATGCCTTTGTGTAGTTGAATGCATGTCCATTTCCACTCATTAACCCTAAAAGTCCTCAATTCTTTACCTGTTGGTGGACAGAGGACTGTAAAAGTTAAGCCTTTGCTGACACTTTTCACAGGAACAATTCCTCTGGACATGGTTCTTGGGTTGAACTGAGCTACATGTACATTTGTTCATACCAATACATGCATGGGGAAAACGATACTTAGCGGCCAGCATGTGAATCTGTGTCCAATTTTGACGCTTGGGTATAGCAAGGGTACCCAGATGACTAAAAAAGCAGGGGTGATGCTAGTTTTGTTGACTGGCCACTGGTATGGGAGTTTTGACAGGAGTACCAGTGTTGGAGGGAACAGTTTTACCATTCAAGGTCACTGAGCCTTTAGCATCTGTGTTGTATGTGTAGTTTGAACCTTTTCTGAGACCTCAAGAGGTGTGAGGAGATTAGGCTCCGAGTGCATTGATTCTGAGTGCAGAAACAGTCTTGATTGGTTGATGTTCAAGCAGTTTGTTAAAGTTACATGTAGTATTTAAAATGGAAAAGTGATGTTTAACTTGGTCCCAACAAGGCACATGCACCCAAAAGTTATCAATGAAATTTTACCATTAAAATCACCTTTCAACTTGAGGGTGAATGTTACACAAACATTTGTGACCCAGCATCCTAAAACAAGGCTGAAGTCAGTATTTGTGATGTTGGACAATTCTTTGCTTTCAGCTTATTTTTACACTTTAAAGTGATCCATGTAAAATCGAACTGTCTGCCGTAAGCTTCTTACGGGTAGTGATAGCTGTAAAACGCAAATGAAAATCTGAACAGTGGAAGTTCCACTATTTCAGGGTTATGAAGTGTGCTATTTTGTCCATCACTGTTAATCACTGTAATGACTAACTGACTCATTTGTCCCTGAAACTATAACGAATTGATAGAAAAGTAATAAGATCACAAAAAGTCTCAAAAGTCTTTTGGTTGGTGAAAGGGGTGGATGGGGTCTCCTTTATTTCTTCATTGGTCATATAGTAGAAATTGCAGGTGTTATCTATGGGTCTTTGAAACCAGATATTAAAAACATAAATCAAAGCCTTTTTGGAACAGAACTCTAAACGTTTCAGTGCCATAGGTGGACTGGGACTTTGTTAACCCACTGTGCACCCCCCCTCCCCACTCGCCCATGTAACCGGAACTAATATTTTGGGTTTTCATTCCAAAACCTTGGCAAACTCCAGATCCTCCTGATTAAGCCATGGCATTTTAAAGAAAACAAGCAAACATTGTTTCTCATTCAATACTTTGCTTTGGGTTCAGTTACTGTCACCTGAGTAAGATCCGATTGCCAGCGTTGCACCTTGTGAAAATGTTGAATGTCTTTAATCAACAGGAAGTTCTGATGCTTCACATCAAAGCTGAGCTGAGGAGTTGGTACGAGGACTCGGTCAAATTCCACACCCTGCCATCCAATCCTTCTGGTAGATATGTACAGCCCTGATGCATGATTTATCACTAAAGACTAGTGCAGCCATGTTTCACTGGACATATCCATTGCCCCTTTCGATTGCGGAAAGTGATGTTGGATTTTGAAGAGAGTGACTGTCACAAAACAGTGGCTCCATACTAGTTACAAGGCTTACTGACTGGGGACGTTGCAAATGACCAGCATTACCGTGGTTACCAGATTTAATGTGGTGTTCCCTCCCCTCTTTGCTGATGTTCGCCTTCGTAGCGTTTGCAGTTGAATGTGTTTGAGCTCAAAAGGCATCACTAGTTTTTGCTCTTAAGTTATTTCCTGTGCCTAACAAGTTTTGTGCTGAACAGTTTCATGACATCGGCCCCATTGAAGTCAGCTTTCTCATTTCCAATCTGCCCCAACCTCCGAGCAGAAGCACCCCCTCATCGGTTGAATAGAGCTATGTTGGTTGGTAGTGTTCATTTTGTTGGTAGCGATGCGGCTGTAACGCTTGAGTTTCATAGTCGTTCGTGAACCAGTGATATGCAGTCACTACCAAAGGAGCCTTCGTTGCTAGGAAAATTGCACCCTCTCTTGGTCCAGCTCAGGGCCTGTAATACTTTTATGCCCACATCTTGTCACAGCACTGCACATAAGTCCTAAACTTGACCTATTCTGTTTTGAAATGTCTTAAAATGGTATCAAGTCAAATGAGATTCAGTTGACAGAAGACAAAACCTCAAAGGGACTTCATTGGGTCCATGACGCACACTGATTGCAGGTTTCTCCTTCTGGGTGGCAAGTAACCTACCACTGAACGACACACAACGGCTGAAGCTATTGGAGATCAACTGCCCGGTGCAGAGGCTACGGCTTGAGCTGGACACACTGCGCAAGGTGCGGTAGATAATATCCTGATCCGTTCAGTTGAACCCATATCAGATACTCTTGTTTGGTTGAATACAATACAAATGTGTGGGAGCAAGAAAATAATGTACATAGTTTATGTGTTTGGTATTTTGCCAAAGATTTTTCTAGTCTGATAATTTTTTAAGTTGCATCTTCATTGCTTTAAGCTGTTTTTATCAATGATTTCCCCAACCTGTGCACCATGCAGTAAATGTGAGACCTCTTACCTCTTAGTATTCGTAACTGCAACTCCCTGCAACAGTTCAAATGTAAACTGAAATCTCATCTGTTTCCACTCTAGGTTTGGGTCATTTGCTCCCACTAATTTTGTCTTAGCACCTGGTTTACTTTCCTGCAGTTGCTTTTTTCACAGTGCATTGTAACCTTCGGAAAAATGCGCTTTATAAATATTATTATTATTATATCATATTTCCGTATACAAAATAGCATTTCTTCATTTTCAAAAATGTCTTTACAAGTCATTGTAAATAGGTGTATTTTGGAATACTGTGTTTTCTGTTGTGTTTAGCTTCATGTAGGCTTCGAAAAATACATTTTCAATTGAGGATCTCACATTCTTTGGCCCAGGGTTTTTTTTATGCATAATTTTTTCTGGATGGATGAATTTCACTGATCCATTGTCAAATTCCTGCTACTGGGTAGGTTCACTGGGGTATTTACAAATGAATCTCTAAAAATATCTGACTCAGAGATTTCATAATTCATGCAAGACTGTTGCATCTTACTCATTGTACACTTTCACTGTGCTGCCTGATCCATCAAAAGAATGTCAAGTTTAACAATACCAAATGCCTTGAATTTGTCAGAGTGCAAAGTTTCTTCTATTTATTTCTGGTTTGTATTGTGTTTGATGCAGTGTACAATGCTGAACTGTACCAGATGTGGTCTGGATATTGCAAACAAGAGTGACGTTTTCAGGTGAGTCCCACTTATAAGTTTATTTACAAGACACATTTGCTTGGAACATTCCCAAGTCCTACAAAATCCTCCAGCTTCCTGGTGGATGTTGAAAGATCGAGGCAGAATGAACTGCACAGCACTTCCGACTCATCATTAGTGAAGCAGACAACTAGAATCTAGCCAAGGTAATGTAAGAAGTTTCCGTGTACCAGTATATTCATTAGGTTTCACCTTGTTTCAAATAACATATTTCCTCGATTAACAAGCTATAGTGGTTCAATTACAAATAACAGTGTATTACAAGATGAATCTTTTTTAAAAGTATCAAATATAATGCACTATAAAGATATATTCAATAACACTTTAACCACTACCAGCCGGGGACTCCAAAATCGGAGCCGTATGGTTTATATGTGTGGCCGGGGTCTCCGAACTCGGACAAAGGAAACAGGGCCCTGTAACAAAAGACCATACTCCGAACGTAAGACCAGGTTGCTGGGCATTACCGGCATTTTTCACTCTCAAAAGTAGCAATAATCCAGCATTGTTTTGAAACCGTTTACCAGGGTTTGGGGCATTGAGAGCAAGCAGATTACCACCGGGGACAAAAGCGCTCAACCACCGCAGCGATGAGCCACACAGCACCGCTGCACGCTAATTTGGCCCCTATTGAAAAGAGGTCAGCAGTGCACTGAGCCAGGTTCGT